GGCCAGGGGACATTTGGGAACGTCTGGAGAAATTTTTGATTGTCATAACTAAGGGAGTGCTACTGGCATCTAGTAGAGAGAGGCCAGTGATGCTGCTAAGCATCTTACAATGCACAGGACAGATCCCAATAGCAAAGAACTATCTAGCCCAAAATATGAATATTGCCAAAGTTGAGAGTTATGCATGTATCCTGAAAAAAGAAGGTATATATAGACACACACACATGAATATGTACGTATACATATGTTTATGCACACATATATGCATATAATATTCTTTGGGCGTTTGCTTTCTAATTTACACAGATAGTATGGAGATATAGATCTGATTCAGTTTCTTACTTTTTTCATTTATCAACATATTTTTAACATCTTTCTAAATTGCTGCTCATAAGTCTAGTTTCTTACTTTCTGACTGGTGCATGGTTTTCTGTTATATCCATCTACCATATCCATTCTCCTACTGATGGGCATCCAGCCTGCTCCATCTCCTTGCTCTCCCAAATAGTGCTGTGATGAATATACATGAGCCTCCCTCATGTATATCCCCTATTGGACCCGTGCAGGTTGTGAAGTCCATATTCAGGAGTGGGCCTGTCATAAATACTTAATTTCACTAAGTATGTTACTGCCATATTGCTCACCAGTTTGCCCTCTTACTAGCTAAGCATGAGAGTTACTATTCCCCCATAGTCTCAGGATAATACCAGCGTTCTCATTTTTGCAAGTTTTATGGATACAATGTGGCATCTTTTTTTGTTTATTTGTTTTTTTTTTGAGGAAGATTAGCCCTGAGCTAACATCTGCCATCAATTCTCCTCTTTTTGCTGAGGAAGATTGGCCCTGAGCTAACATCTGTCCCCATATTCTTCTATTTTATATGTGGGATGCCTGCCATAGCATGGCTTGATAAGCAGTATGTAGGTCTATGCCAGGGATCCGAACTGGCGAAGCCTGGGCCTCCAAAGTGGAGTGCACAAACTCATCAATGGCCAGCCCTGTGAAGTGGCATCTTTTGATTTTAATTTGTATTTCTTTGACTTCCAGTTAGATTGAGCAGCTCTCCACCTATTTGTAAGTCATCAAATTTTCTCCTTCCATGAATTGCCTGATCACATGCTTTGAATGTTTTTTCTACTGGGTTTTCTGTTCATTGTTGTGACTGATTAGCATGCATTCTTTGTACATTCTAGATATTGAGCCTCTGTGGTGTTGGGTGTTTCGAATGCATTCTCCCAGTCTGTCACTAATCTACCAACTTTGTCTGTGGTGTCCTTTCTTGAATAGGAATCCTTTATTTTTGAAGAAGGGAAATCTATATATTGTTTAAAAAATCTTTTCTCATTTGAAATGTTAAAATATTCTCCTACAGTTTCTCCTACTAGCTTGGCAGTTGCACTTTTCATAATTAAGCCTTTAATTTATTTGGAATTTTTTTTTTATAAAGGACATGAGGTACAGTTTCAATCTTATTTTTCCACATATGATTAGCCAATTTCCTAACTCTGTGTACTGAATATTCCATTTTTACTCCAACTGATTTGTGATGACACTTTATCATACATCAAATTTCTGTATATATCTAGTTTCCTCCTGGGATGTCCATTCTTTTCCCTTGAACCACTTGTCTATTCCTGCATCACCATCACACTGTTCCTGTAACTACGGCTTTGTAGTATAATTGTATTCTTCAGGTCAGTTCCCTTCACTCTTCTTTTTTCAAACTTTCTCTAGGTATGCATGGACTTACATTCTCCCATACAAATTTTAAAATCAGTTTGTCAGTTCCTCACAAAATCAGGGCTTTTACTGAAATAGCATTGAATCCATAGATTAATTTTGAGGAAATTAACAAATTTATTTGTTGTTATTCTATCCATGAACATGGTATATTGATTTATTGATATCTTCTTTCATATACTTTTAAATTCTAAGATTTTCTTGGTAGTGATCTGCTGAGTTCATTATTAAGTTAATTACTAGACATTTTATAACTGTATTGCCATTGTAAATGAAATTTTTAACTTCATTTATAATATTTAGTATTTTATTAAATATATTTTTAATAAATATAATTCTTCAGCATTTTATTTTTTGGTTACTTATGCAGTTATAGGAAGACACTGTTGATTTTTTTTCTCGACATTTTAGTCTGCAACTTTGTTGGACATTCTACTGGGACTTCAAATGACTCACAACTTGGGCTCTCCCTCTACCAAAGAATAGAAAGAAAGACTACCACTTCCCCAACTCCCAGAGGCTTGGCAGTGATTAAGCAGTGGATGAATCTGTGGATTGCTATCAGACTCACCAAAATGAAGTCATTAAGAATGAAGAAAAGGAAGTCCAAAACATGGATTGTAAACTCAGTTGCCTAAGTGGACTAGGTGTAAAGCACAGGGAATGGGGGTAACTGGGGCAAACCAAAAAGCACAAGTTCTACCTAAAAAGGGCAGACCTACTCAGCCTCAGCTAATTCTTGCTATGCAGCAATGAAAGCCCAGTTTTCCCACATCTTCAGATTTTTTTAGGAGAAGCCCAAACACCTTGAGTTTAAGATATTAGCACTATTTCAACCTTTTATTTATTTATTTTGGTGAGGATGTTTGGTCCTGAGCTAACATCTGTTGCTAATCTTCCTCTTTTTCTTTTTTCTCCCCCAAGTCCCAGTACATAGTTGTATATCCTAGTTGTAGGCCATTCTAGTAATTCTATGTGGGACACCACCACAGCATGGGCTGACGAACGGTGTGTAGGTCTGTGCTCAGAATCCGAACCAGCGAACCCCAGGCCGCCGAAGGGGAGCACGTAACCTTAACAATTTGGCCACAGGGCTGGCTAGTATTTCAATCTTGTAAAAATATTGGATGGGTCAAAGAAAGCACATCTGTGGGCTAGATTTGTTTCACAATCTACTGATCTGCATCCTTTGGTCTAAGAATGTCCCAAGTGGAGGAGATGATAGGGAAGTAACTGAATATCCTCTCTGGACCCACCCTTCCATTCCTTTATTCCTTCCCTTCTACCCCATTTGCCTTCACTGTGCAGGGTTCTGTTCCAGCCAGCTTGGACACTAGTCTTATAGGACGAGGTTAGAACTTGAGGAGAGAAGAGGGAGGTTGAGGCTTAAGAAGGTATGGGCTGGGCCCAGATCCCAAAGCCTGAGCACTCCCAAGAGAACAGGAGTCTAAGCTGGGACGTGAATTGACATGTGGCCCACCAGAGTCACCTAAAGTGGTTTGGTGTTGAAACCAATCCAACTCTTTCCCGGCATCATCTGAAGATGAGCAGTGTTTGGACAATTGTCTCAGATTAGGTTGGCTCCCATGGGTCCATATTCTGGACCTGAACCAGCCTCCTATGGTGTCTTAGGTTGGTGTTATGGGCTAATCGTGTCCTCCCAAAATTCTCTGTTGAAGTCCTAGCCCCCAAAACCTCAGAATGTGGTTGTATTTGGAATAGGGCCTTTAAAGAGATAATTAAGGTAAAATGAAGTCAGATGGGTGGGCTCATATCCAATATGGCTGGTGTCCATAGAAGAGGAGGAGATTTCGACACAGACACACAAAGAGGGAAGACCGTATGAAGACACCAGAAAGAGACAGCCATCGACAAGCCAAGGAGAGAGGACTCAGAAGAAACCAAACTTACCAACTCCTTAATCTTGGACTTCCGGTTTCCAGACTGTGAGGAAACAAATTCTGTTGTTTAAGCCCCCAGTCTGTGGTACTTTGCGATGGTAGCCCGAGCAGACTCCTATTGTTGTGTTCCTTGGCAACAGACTTTGAGGGCAAGTTCTGTGTGGTTTGTGGGAGCAGTGTCAGGATATCCTACACAAAAACACAGAAGGCAGAATTGGGCAGAGGGAGAAAGTGAACTACGCTAGGAGTGCCACCAAGCAGGAGTTCTGGAGTTCTGGAGGTGGGATGGCCTTTCAGGGCTGTTCCAAATTGAGGCAAGGGGTATTTGTTTTCCTACGTCGGCTATTCTCAAGGTGAAGGAGGGGAAGTGATTTTGGCCCCCAGGGAACGTTTGGCAATGTTTGGAGATATTTTTGGCTGTCACAACTGGAGGGTGGGCAAGGGTGTGTGTGTGCATGCACTACCGGCATCTAGTGGGTAGAGACCCGTGATGCTGTTGCTAACCACCTCCAATGCACAAACAGCCTCCCCACAACAAAGAACCATCCGGCCCCCAATGTCAGTAGTACTGATAGAGAAAGCCCGCCCTACACCAACAAGCCACTGGCCATGAGCTGCTCTGGCAAGGACATAACCTTAGGCAGACCCCTGAGGGGTGTAGCTGTGACCTGTCACCACCCTCTCTTCCCAGCAGCTGAGGAATGAGCACGTTTGCCATGAAGAGAGGAGCTGGGCACAGTAAAGAGCCCTCTGTCTGGCCTCTCAGACTTCTCTTTCTAATATAAGTAACAACTAACCATGTTCAGGGCACTGCCCTGGGAGTTTTAGATACCTTATCCCATTTAAGCCTCATGAAAAGGCCAAGAACTGGATTTTATTGCCCCTGTTTGATCATAAAGGAGATCCAAGACTCAGAAAGGGTTAATCACTCACCCAGGGTTCCTGAGCTAGTAAGTTACAGAACCAGAATTTGAAGCCAGGACTGTCAGACTCCAAAGTCTGGCTCTTTCGCAAGCAGGAAGGACAGGCTCTGCTGAAACAAGAGCAGTATACACCGCATAGACGGGAGAAAGAGGTGGACTGCATACTTAACCCAGAAGTGATATAAATCCAGCCTCAGAGCTGCCAGAAGCTCTGAAACAATTTCTGACATCATGGGGGCCAGACCTGGGGCTCGGGATTCCCGGAGAAGAGCCTCCTGGCACCTCTGTATCTGCAAATGTTAACAGGTTACCAGAAATAACGCCTCTGGTAAAGAGGACTTTTTTTTTTCCTCCTTGAGGAGAATGCATGGACTTTAGGACTTTGGATGATGACAACAGTAACTATGAAAAAGAAAAAAAAGCTACTTCCCAGGAGTCAATGGTATAAAAATAATTTTTATTTACTACTGTAAATAAAGTAGTGCAAAGAGTAGTTTGGACCAATATTGCATTACTGATTTATCTACTACCTTAGCAGCATACAGTGTACAGTCGGTCTGCCCTTCCTCTCCCTCTCTCTGTGCCTTTCTCTCCCCCTTTCTTCACACATACACGCTCACGCGCTCACACACACACACGCACACCCTTCATGGACTCAGGCAGGCAGAAGGGGCAGAAGGCTGGGATGAGACTATGAGCTAAAGGCGTGTTTCCTGCATACCCACTGCTGCCAGGCTATTCTAAGGGGTAATTCATGGAGAAGACTACGCTTAAATACTAAGAATTTTCTAAATGTTATTTTATGGATTGCAATTGAAAAGTAAACCATATCCAACAATGTCATTAAGTGATTTGGAAGCACTACGACCTTAGAAAAATTCAAGGAGAAAAATGTAAACCAATTTACAAAAGCCATCGCCTTCCCTGCATGTGTGGCCACAACCTGTGTATTTCAAGGTGCCTTAGAACTGCTGCGTTTTGGAAGTTAAATTGAAATCTGTTGATTGGACTTTGAGGAGCAGGGTTGTGGCAAACACTTGTACTGAAATATTACCCAACTGGTAGAGAAGTCACAATTTTCTGTTCTTTAATAAAAGGGAAAGAACAAGGCGCTAAAAATTCTTAAATTACATCTCAGTGTATAAGGATGCCGATATGCCACAGGGCATACACACAATCGCCAGGAATGGACGTCGGCAATAACCCTGGCAACCTCCCCAACACCCCTATGACCAGGATCTTCCTTGCATTGGTTTGATAACCTTTGGTATAACCAGTGTCTGCTCTGGGTACTTCTTTGTAATTCAATTTAAAAAAAAACAACAAAAGACACCAAGTGCAAAATTTGCATCCAGTTGACAAGACATTTAAGGTGTTTATCAGTATGTTGCGGTGGCCCCAGCTTCCCAATACCAGCCGTTGAAAGGATTGTCTCTCATCTGGAGAGACCTGGAGTGCATAGTTCACCCACGAGGCTCTGGGTTATTAGGGACCGTGGGCTGGTCCTGAGCGGAGGCATCTGCAGCTGGAGTCACAGCTGGACTTGCAATGGGAGCGGTGGAGTCTGGGGAAGCCCGGGCTGGTGTCGGACGGGAACTGGTGGCTGCAGAGACACATGTACAACAGGTGCTGATTATTCAAAACAGTGCGTGCAGGACACACAACCACGCCTGGACCTTAGCAAGCCAGGGAGATGCTTCTAGGCTAGTGGCCATGACACGAACTTGATAAGGCAACTTTGGACCCATTATCTAGGTTCTTCGGACTTTGGTGTTCCCTTCTGTAAAACGGCAGATTGGAATAGATGTGCAAAGACCTTTGATGGTTTTGACACCCTGGGACTCTAAGCTCTGCATTTATACTGTGGCTTCCAGGTAAATATTTTAATTAAAAAAAGAAAAGAAAAAACCAACACTCTGGTTTGTTTCCTGTGCTTATATCTCTTTTTTTCCCATGGTGCTGACGCAACGCAAGCTATGAACTATACCAATCAATCATAAAGGAGTGTTGGTTTTATTCACTTTCTTATTCCATTTGGATGATGTACCAAATTTGGTTTAAATTACTTTATTTAAATAAATGTGTATACGTTTTGGAAAACATAACTTCTAGGTTTAATTATTTATCAATCTACCTTTAGTAAGGAGATTGAACAAACACAAACATTAGAGAGGCTTATAAAGTTTTATACTTTATGTTAGTGGTTTTCAAATGCACGTGATTTTGATTCCCAGGCAACAATTGGCAATGTTGGTAGACATTTTCGGTTGTCACAGCTGAAGGGCAGGGTACTGCTGGCGTATAGTGGGTAGAGGCGAGAGATGCTGTTAAGCATCCTATAATGCAGGGATGGCCCCTACACCAAAGAATGGTCCACCTGCAAACATCAACAGTGCTGAGGCTGACATATGCCGCATGTGTACTGAGGCTGGGCGGAGTCCCGGTTAACAAGACCGTGGGCTCTGGAACCCAGCTGCTCCGCCCTTTATCAGTTATGTGACCTTGGACAAGTTACCCACTCTCCTTCTGCCTCTAAAAAATGGGGAAAATAAAAGCATCTCTACCTTGTTGAGTTGTTAAAAGGACTAAATGAGTTAACGTATATGAAGTGCCTAGAACAGTGTCTGGGACGCACAAGTGTTCAACAAATGTTAGCTATTAATTCCAGTGACCCATTTTATCCTGAAAATGTGTTAAGATTTATTATTAATTTCAGGGGCATGGCTTGCAGGACCGATAAAAAAGTTGGTGCCTTTGCTTCTGGGATGCCTACAGATCTCTGTTAGGCCCCAATATCCTGTGAAAACTGCAGAAACCTTGAAGCCAGGAAGTCCAGGAGTCTCATGCCTCTGCCATTTATCAGCTGTGTGATCTTGGGCAAGTTACTTAACATCTCTGATTGTAGTTTCTTCATCTGTAAAATGAGGGTAGCAGTTGGCAGGGATGAATGACATGTGGCTAGCCCAGTGGCCATAGTTTGTGCCAACAACTGCTAGTTTGCCTTTAACCAGTGATCTTAATCGAGCTCAGCTATCCTTGACTCTTATACACTTTCCAGTAGATGGGACCATTTTTAAAGATTCCCAAATGTCCATTCTGAAATGCACTGACTTTAAGAAGATGCTGGCATATATCTAAAAGTCATACGTTGACAATCTGATTTTTAGATAAACTCTTCAAGAGATCCATCTTCAAGGAGCCTTTCTAGGCCATTCAATATGGGCTCCAAAGTCTCTGGTTTTTCTGGATATGTAAAGGAATTCTCCTAGGAACCCTTTCCAATACCCACTGAAGATCTTGTGGATCCAGAGACTGTTCAGAAGGAACAGGAGAGTGGTGGTGGAGGGGGTACCCAAGGTGTTGCATAACGCTGGGGCGTTTCTGGGTTAAATCATCACTGTGGCAGGTGAGCTACCCATGGCAGGGAGCATGAGGTCCAGCGATGGGGCACAAAGACCATTTGCTGGAGTCAGGAGACCCGGTCTAAGAAAGTCTTATTTATCTACCACCAACAGGTGACTTTGGGGTAGATATTACGGCAGACATTTCAGTCCCAAAAGCTTGAATCTCATAGGGCTTGGTTTCCTCTTCTGTGAATTGAGGGGCTCCGATCAGATGGTGTTCAAGACACCCTTGGGCCCTAGGATTTATCTTTCTGATGATCTCTGAAGAAGTTAATGAGGTACTAAGGCATGTATTTTTCCTTTTCAAGCTCAGGGAAATGTTTAAATCACCATGGTAACAAGATAAATCAGCAATCAGTTTTCTGATTAAAACAAAAAAGTGCCAATGTGTAAATGTAGAAGGAATGCATAATTAGCATTGCCACGATTTAAATTTTCTTGTAAGAGCATAATAAGAATGCTCAATGTTTCTACAGCATGTTTGTTATTATCCACGTGAGAACCCTCCCCCTTCCACTAGGGGTCTGCGATCAATGGACAAGCCCCCCACAGCCCATGGTAATTTTAAAGTGGCCCCCTTCTCTCTGCTCACCTGGGATGTGTGTTAATTTGAGGACCAAGTAGAATCAAGGTAACAGGAAAATAAGCGTGCTGCTTAAAAAATTACAGAGCGTGTTCCAGAGCATAATAGAAATGATTTTTGGATTACCTGCTGCTTGGGGGACCATTTTCTGTGCATTAGTGAGAATAATCAAGACCTGGCTCTGAGTGGTGTGGACCAGGGGTTGGCAGACTGCAGCCCATGGGCCAAATGTAGCTTGCTGCCTGTTTTTGTGTGGCTGAAAATCTAAGGATGGTTTTTACATTTTTAAATGGTTGAACAAAAATCAACAGAAGAGTGATATTTTGTGACATGTGAAAAACATGAGATTCAAATTGTCACATCCAGAGTAAAGTTTTATTGGAAACCAGCCACACCATTCGTTTTCATGTATTGTCAATGGCTGCTTTCACACTATAAGGAAAGTTGAGTCATTGCAACAGAGATGGCCCTCGAAGCCAAAATGTTTATTATCTGGCCCTTTGCAGAAAAAGTTTGTTGACCTCTGTTGTGGACCCTTGAAGGAAAAATGTCTACTTGCCAGTTGACCAGATGGGAGCATAAAGAAAAGAAGAACACGAGGAGATATCCTGGGTTAATCTCGAGATAGTAGAATGTTTGCAAAGATGGGGGGCAAGCGGATGATTGAGGGGGAGGCTCTGGGAATCATATCCTCTGAATAAGATCTAGCCTCCTTCCTTTGGGCCTCTGGCTCTAGCAGGGCGCAGGACAAGATTCCTGTCATTTAAATGCTTCTTCTGAGTGGAGATCCTGGGAGGGCACCAATTGTAATGAGTTAGGAGAAAAGCAAAATCTCACCACTAAATCGCTCTGACTTTAAGGCTCCTGCTTTTTTCATGAGCACCACTTTGTGACATTCTACTGTAATTTTTGTAGAAACCTCATTAACCAGAAATGTAGAGGACAGGAAAAGAGCAGGAAAAGGTTTAATTAATCTTGTTCGTATCATCTTACTCTTTTTAAAAGACCACTAGGCTAATCATTTAGGCAGAAAGGATGAGTTGGCTTAAATTACGAATGTTTGAATAGGCTGATACAGGTTTAAAAGGCGACCGAGTCACACCCAGGAGCTGGTAGCTCTGCACAGCGTGCTCTGTCCTGTGTTTTCTATTCAGATGTAAAGTCTGCACCGACACTAGTAAGACGTTGTCTGAAATGGCCATTGACATTTTCTCCACCTAGTCTTCTCTTCACCTTCCTTCGGACAGCCAGCCAGGCTTCACGCATTCTTGTCTCAGGGGAGATTTGTGGCAGGGCCGAAATGGAGATGGTTCTAGACATACTTTGCTTTGGGGTTTTTTGTTTTTTCACAAGCCTGAGTCCATTAAGGCGCTTACACTTGGCGTCCCTCACAGGGAGGGGAGAAAGGCTTTCAAGATGCAAGGAGGCAGGGAAAGGAGCGTTTTGGAGCCTGAGAAAGTGGCTGAGCCCTGCTGTGGGTTGTACCAGCAGCAGAGCCCTCACCTTCAACCACCTGAGAAAGGAAGACTTGGGAGAAAAAAGGCTAATGGTGCACAGCCTTGGCAAAGAGGATAGGACTCTTAGGCGACCGAGAAGCGGCAAAGCCACTGGCCCTGGAGGGACAGCGTGGGCCCAGGGCACTGTGTGTTCTGCTATCAGACTGGTGACCACGTGAGTGGTCCTAGCGCTACCCAAGACCCAGGGACCTTTGTATCACCCTTGGTGGCATCAGCCTCAAAAGAGACTGAGGGGCCTGTGGAATGCAAGCTAGGAGTCAAAAACAAGCTCCCTTGAAGGATACAAAAGACATGTGTGATATTTTTTGTGATAGACTAGTCAATGTCTTCGTTTAGATGCTGTAAAAAGAGTTTCATATTTTTGACAGAGTCTAGCAGCATAGAAAAGCACGATAGGCTCTGGTGATTGTATCTATCACTGAGATAAACCAAGCTACCTGAGAGCAGGTGCTACCTGGTGTCACCACGTGTTAAGTACAGGTAAATGGCCTGGAGGACACTACTCCTTGGGCACTACCAGTTAACATTTGTTGAGTTCTAAGCACTTTACACCGCGTTATCTTCTTTGGTTCTCTCAACTACAACAGGAAGTAGGTGTACTACCATTTCCACTATTTTACAGAAGGGGAAACTGAGGCAATATACGATCTCTGCTTTGCCCAAGGTCACACAGTTAGCGGCAGGGCCAGAATCTTGGCAGGCTGACTCCTGAGTCTGTGGTGTTAGCTACTGTCCTGCACGGCTGGCCTTCCGGAAGGTGGGACAATGTTATGTGGCAAATGCTGTGACATGTTGACGGTATATCACAGAGCATACAAACTCAGGAGGAAAATGAAGGTCATTAGAGCCGAACGCAAACGGATGGAGAGCTCAATTTAAAGGTTTGACCATAAATCATTCATTTTAAAAAAATTGACTGGAAAAATGCAAATCACAGAATGACGAAGATCTCTAACTTACAGCACAATCCTCACACAAAGCCACTTAAGGGAGGTTCCTAATTCTCCATCTCATTCCTCTTTCCTCTGTCAATCAGCACTTGAGTTCATGATTGTGCTTGCTTCCCAACGCCATGGCTACCACCAGCATCTACTACATTGTCCCCCTGCCCATGGGGCGGGTCATGGGACCTGGAGCACTGGGGCATCAGGGGATCCTGATGGTGGAAACTTTGTCCTCTGAGCAATCCCCCACAGAAGCTTCTCTCCTGTTCTACTGTGCCTCTATTGCCCCTGCCCCATGGCCCAATCTCGGACGAAGTACCTTCTTATTTCACAGTTAGTGACAAATTTGCACTTATGTTGAGGACTTTATGAAAAAAATTTACTCCATATTTTAACTCAACACCAGTTCTAACAGGGCTGGTAGGCACCACAGTGTGGGCACATTTTGGAAATACGTGGAGACTTTGTTTTTTCACTTTTAGGCCCTTACGACTCAAGGTATGGCCCATGGGACAGCAGCACGAGCATCACCCGAAACCTTGTTAGAAATGTCGAATCTCAGAACCCAGCCCCAGACCTACTGAAGTAGGATCTGCATTTAACAAGATCCCTAAGTGATTCATATGCACATTAAAATTAAGAAGCACCCGGGCTATAATTTACACATTGAAATATATACTATTTTGTTATAATTAGTTTCTTTTTTTTCCTCCTTTATATTGCTGTTAGGGCATTATTTTAAAAAATATATGTGTAGGCAGGTTAATTATCCTTAATTTCAGGGCACCAAAAGATGTGCCACAAAATATTTCTTATGTAAGAGGATGATAGGTCGAAGACAGATGGTAACCACTATTTTAAAGTATTGTGAGTCTGACAAAGTTTGAAATTCTACTGCCCTACATCCTTTCTTGGACTTTATTTTGTGAATTTGGGGCAGGCCACTTCATCCTTTTGGCCTCAATTCCTTCATCTGCAAAATGAAGGGCATAGAATTAAATTATTTTTAAGATCCCATCCAGACTTCTCTAAGGCTAGTCAAGAGGGAAGGAGGGAAACACATGAAGAAGCAAGTGAAAGAGAAAGAGATGAAGAAAAAGTGTGAAAGAGCACAGGGTACATAGAAAGGGGAATATATCAAAGGGCAGGAGGAACAGGAAGACGAGAATGGGGAGGGACTGATAATGAAGATGTGAAGGAAAGAAAAAGAGACAACTTCTGATAAAAGCAATTCCGCCAGCCCATGAATTTTCATGGCGACCAGCTGGCATAAAATCATAAAGACAATTTTCAGTTCCTCTAATGGAATTGCATTTGTAATAATCATAACAATATTTCTACAGAGTAAAAATGACAAAGATAATTTGAAATGGAAAACACTGATGAGAGGCAAAATAAATATGCTCTACCTGGCAACAAATTTAGCGACGGGACAGAATTTGCATGAGGACAATTTATAAGCTGGCATAGTACAGGGCATCAAGCCTGGAAGGGCTGTTGACGGTTCCTGGCTAACCTCCTCAGGTAAATCAGAGGGAAATGTTCCGGATTAGCCTCTAGCAATGGCGACTTTCTCCTCCCATCGAATCTGTGGTGAAATGTACTCCTTTCGCTTTTCATTATCTGCTGCATAAATAATGGCTATGCGAATGCTCAAATGCCATGTCCAGTCCTAATTTCTCCATTTGTAAATGTCCCTGATGGTCTTCATGAATGACTATGTCCTCCTGTAGCCATCTAAGATGGTGGAAGATTACAACTCTCCACAGACAGATGTTTGCAAATTTAAGCACCTACTAAGTGTGAGATACTATAAATGACAGGACTAAGGCCTTCCTCTGACTCAGTTTATGGTCTCACAGGGGAGATAAACACGGTAGGTAACATTTGTTGAAAGGGTTTTATATGCCAGATAAACACAGTAGTTAACATTTAACTATAGTAGTCCTTTTGGTGACTTATGAGTAATTTTTTCACTGAACCCTCCTAACACCCTTGGGAAGTAGCTACTGTTATAACTTCATTTTATGGACGAGAAATTGGGGGATCAGAAAGGTGAAATAACTCGCCATAAGTCACACAGCTAATGAGCAGCCAGGCCTGGACTCTAAGCCCAAATTGAAGCCACTGGGGCTCCCGTCTCCTTAAGTAGTGCCCAACATGAGCTCAGGCAAATAATAGTGATCAGTGGAATCCCCATTAGATGAAATGCTGGTTTTACGCTCCTCCTTAGACCCTCCCTCTGAATCCATGGGGCTGGGGATTTTTATTCACCATCATTCCTTGTTTATCCTCCCACACCTTTGATTCCTTGACTTGGATAAATGGGAGGACATCAGCCTGAAGGGGGCCTCAGAGCCAGGTTTAAAGGCACATAGAGGTCAAATTTTGAGAGCAGAGGTATTTTCAATAGGAGAAGACATTTTAATTTGATTTCTTAAGCTTTTTATTTAAAAAAAGCCTTGCTTACTTTGAAAAATATAACAATAATTGGGGTCTTCCATCAGCCAAAGATTATGATGCACCCCTAGGGGTAACCCCCCATTTTTATATATAATATATATATATATATAAAAGAATCCCTACCTTTTTATATTGCCCTGGCTTTTTATAAATCTTTACCTGAGACAGACTGGAAATACTGCACGGTCCGGGCGATCAATATGGACAGCAGGAAGGTTCCCAGAAAATAGATCTGCAAACATCAGAAGTATGCATCAGATGACTGAAAAAGGGCAGGGGCCCCTGGGCAGGGCTGGGGGAGACAGTACCTACCAGGGCAGAGTGCAGGATGGCGCCCCAGATAAGCCGTAGGTGAAGGTAAAGCCAGGCCAGGGCGCAGGGGCTGAAGGACTCCTCAGTACTGTGGTTCCAGCACCTACAGATAAAAAGCACAGCGCATCTTGACGTGTCAGCCAACTTTGGTGGCCTTACTTATGACCAACATTTTCAGATCCTCAAACTCTCCCCCTTCTGCTTTGGGACAAATGGGCACGCTAAAGATAAGAGATAAAGAATTAAAGCCAGTTCTAAGGGGTTTGGACCTGCCTTAAAATTCTAGGATCCTGGCAGAAATCTTAGAAGAAGGTCAATCCTGTCCTTAATTAAAAGCCAAGATGTCAAGGAGAAGCCTGAAGCATGGGGGCCGGCAGAGCAATACTTCTGTTCAAGTGTCTGTCCAAAGTCCAGCCATTGGAACATCTCCCTATCTTACAGAAAAGCATGGTTCCATTGGACATGTTATTTTTTCCACTTTTGTGGAAAAGCTTGGTCAGCGCTTTAATTTCAGATCAAGCATTCTGTAGCTTAAGCCTCACATACTAGAAAAGGGAAATAAATCTGGGTTCAGCTGAGTGTTCTCTAATCAAAATGAATCCTGAGCCCTTTTTACAGCAACTGACACTACAAAATAAGAGTAAGGCTAACCTGAACCGAGAGGCAAACCCCACTCACTGGGGATCCCCCAGAACCCACCAAACTAACAAGGCTCTGAACTCACCTTTCGTATAGTTCCTGCAGGATGGAGATGTTATTAGAATGGATAGTTGGGTCAATTTCCAAGAAATCCAAAATATGATGCGGGATTATAGCACCTTCCTCAACTAGCAGGGCCAGGTTAAAAAATCCCTGAAAACAAACCGCAAACCAAACTCATTAGCTCCCTATAATGAAGCCCAGACACAAACCCTGCATCAGAAGGTAAACTTTTACAACCTCTCGACTTTTTTTCAGTCCCTGGAGCCAGATGGTTTTGTCATCTTCATTGATGAATTGTTTCCCTAAATAAATGCATCTGAGAAATTTATTTGCAGGAGAACCAGGAGGGTTTCAGAGGATGCTGTGTCCCATCTGCTCAGAAGCCAGTCAACCGGGAGATCTGTCCTTTCCTGCTCTGTTCACTCTCTCAAAACAGAACTTGCTGGAAAACGCGCCCTTGTATCATCAACAAAACCAGAATACTGAGTCGAAGGCAGTGTCCATCACTTACAGATTATGCCCTGGGTCATCGTCAGCATGTCAGAAATCCAACGAAATGTTTTTGTGCTGGGGCTACTACTCGTGACTGACATTCTCATGTAGCGAGTCTCTTATGCACAGAATGGGGTGCGGGTGGTTGCCCCAGGTTGCCTAGGCCAACATGGAAAACCTCTTCTCATGATTCCTCTTGTCACAGATCTCCACTCTGGGATGCTTCCCTCTAGCTCTCTCTTACACACCTTCTTCTTGACCTCAGAAGTAGGACTGCCTTATTGGGCTGCGCAGGTCCAATGAAATAACACAGTGAAGAGCCTGAGGGTAGAGGTGCTTCACAAAGGATGGAAACTGTTATACTACCTGGAGGAGATGCACTGTCCATCACGCGCTGAGCATGTGGCCACACCAAGAAATAAATAAAAAACGATCGGTTACTTACCATTAGGGCTTTACAACTTTCCCTGGATTGCTGCCCTTCAAAGAATTCATGGTCATGTTTTAATGACATATCCTGCCTTTGACCTTTACTTTCAGTTGCCACTGACAACAATTTAAATGAAAATCACCATCCCCCAGGTTGTATATACCAGGACTCTCACAAGCATCCTATGCAATGATCATGATAAAAATAACAGCAGCTAACATTTTCCGGGTGCTTGCTATATGTGAGGCATTGTTCTGTTTGATATACACTCACTTAACCTCATAACAACAAATTGAGATGGGTACTATTATTCTCCCCATTTTATAGATGAGACAACTGAGGCACAGAGAGGTTAAAGAATTTGCCCAAGGTCGCAAAGCTGTAAAGAGGCAGAGCTGGAATTCAATTGCAAACAAAGAGGGTTGGCGTCTCAAATCTCAACCTCGGTCATGCTGCCAAATAACCTCTAAATAGATGAAAGTATTAAGTGATGTGGGCTCAGTGAGTTGAGGAGTCGAAAGAAAGATTTCTTGGACTCTCGAGGTCTGGCAGTAGTACTCTTTTATTCAGAGAATAGCCTGGAATAGCATGGGGACAGGACCCATGGGCAGTAATAGCTGCAGGCATGGGGACAGGGCCCATGGGCAGTAGGAGCTGCAGGCATGGGGACAGGGCCCATGGGCAGGAGGAGCTGCAGGCATGGGGACAGGGCCCATGGGCAGTAAGAGCTGCAATGTGTTGAGGGTTAGCTCTAAATTTATAAGGCATAGATATGTGAGTTATTTCTTTACTAGACAAAGGAAAGATCATGAAAAAAAGTCATTAAAATGGTATCAGTGCCGGTGGGGTCCGGTTATTGGGTGGTCCTATAACTTTAGATAAGAATCAGATCGGATTAAGTCAGGACGTCCTATGCTTCCCAGAGGATGACACAGATCGGTATGTAGGGCAGGACGCCTTGGGCTTCTTCCTGGGGCAGAGCCAGGCTTGATCCTCATCATTAAGTATCTTTAAGATGCACACACGCAAGCAGAGAATGGAATATTTGAAAGGAAGGTACCCTTAAAACTTGAAGTATTAGAAGAAAAGAAAAACATTGCTTTATAAAAATTTAAAGTCTCTGAACAATGAAAACATAACAAGTTAAAATAGATAGGAAAACAGACTAAGGGAATATTTGTGTGCAATGTAATAGCTTAAGGTTCATTATCTATTGGGCAAACGTAAAAAGAACTAACTATGATTTAAACTGAAAAAAAAAATCAGTATCAAGACTCCAATAGGTTAAACAGGTAAAGAATAAGAATAAAGAATCACATAAAAGAAAATATTAAGAGTAAATTATCATAGACAAGTTGAGGTAAAAGTACCCATCTTCACTAGTATTCAAATAAACGCAATTTAAAACCATAAGGAAGCATCAACTTAAAACTATTCAATTAGCAAAATTAAGTCACAAAAACACCCAGTGCTGAGCACATGTCAGTTATCCTCCCACACTTAACCACTGCTTGGGGATGTATTAACTGGAAAACACTTTCAGAAAGCAAATCGACAATATACTGTTATTATGCAGCTGTAAAACAATTTAGACTGTTTGACTCAGTAATACTATCTCACAGACAATAAAAGAAATCATTCCAATGGAGTTAAAAGATGGAAATATGAAAACGTTCACTGTAGCACTAGCTATAATTGCAACACAGTAGGAAATGACCTCCACGTCTTCCTTAATAGATTCTAAATCCCATGAAGCCAAGAATATTGTCTATCTTTTTATCTTAAGTCTCCACCACTAAGCAATGTTTAAGACATGGCAGGATTGGATAAACATATGCCAAATCAGTGAATAAATTAGCGAATGTAAGAATAAATGTCCACCAATAAGATAAACCTTAATAAATTGGAGTTACCAGCTCAACGGAATATAAGGCAGTGGTTAAGGGTAAGAAACTAGAAAGACTATGGAATAAAATGCCCACATTCCTACTGTATGTGAGAAGAGATGGATTTTGAAAGTGGTGTGTACACTCTTGGTAACATCACAGAGATACGCTTGCCTGTGGGCAGGGACTGGAAGGGAACATGAAGACATGAAGGAGTAAAGCCCGTCACGGAACTGTGGGTGCATTCTTTGATTTTTCTTTTCTTTTAAAATGATCCTTTAATGTTTTGCAACATTTTCTTTCCAAAAAGTAAAAATCGGAATTGAAAAAAATGATCCAGACCTAATTTTGAGTCACAGATACCACGTGAGAAAGTTTAGTTTGGCTCTTGATCAAATCGTTTTAGCACCAACTCCTATTTCATTCCAGAACTAATAATAGAACGGACTGTGTCCATTGTGTGTTCTCAGTGCTGGGCTCAACATTGTACATCAAACGTCTCATTTAATCCTCATAAACTGTGAGGTATTATCCCCAGTTCACAAATGGGAAAATGAAGACCCAGTGATTTAGTGACTTGCCATGTACAAACAGCTATGAAGTGACAGAGATGTGGGACTTTAACCCAGGTAAAGAATCATCCTGACATAGTACCTCGTTTGGAAAAAAACTAATACTGGCGAGTTTCCAACTTTTGCTCATCCAACATGTGCCCAAAGCATACCACCAGAACGTGTTGCATAAGAGGGTTATGCAACCATTCCAACTTCCAGCCTGAAAATGACCCTGAGATCCTCACAGGAGAATTCCCATTGGCAAATCCAGGAGGAATGAGGGAAATAAAGAATCATATTAGCACACCACAGAATGACTGCAGGGGGCAAGATCTACCGAAGGATACTAAAATCAGTGGGCAGAAGTTTGAGGAGAAATCGGATATTTGCATGGTTGACATCTAACTCTCCAAGATACCTATAAATTTAGAAAGAGAAAAATAACTTTACAGGGGAGAAACTGAGCAGAAACCATGTTAACCAGGTGACTGAGATCAACCTCATCAGTAACAAGACATATTGAGATCATGTACACCTCGTAGGATACATTGAGAAGGACACATCATTTCTGTGCTGTCCTTGCCCAAAATGTGTAATCTTAATCTATTCATGAGAAAACAGAAGACGGACCCAAATCGAGAGACATTCTGCAAAATACCTGACCAGGATTCTTCAAATGTAACAAGGTCAGGAAAGACAAGGAAAGACAGAAACTGGCCCAGATTGAAGAAGATAAAAGAAATATGACAACTAAATGCAATGTGAGATCCTGAGTGGGACTCTGGAACAGAAAAAGGACATTAGAGCGAAAACTAGTGAAATACAAATAAAGTCTGAAGTGTAGTGAATGGCACTGAACCAATGCTGATTTCTTAGTTTGATAATGGTATTGTGGGTATGCAAGATATGAACATACTCTTCCTGCAACTTTTCTATAAATCTAAAAATATTCCAAAATGAGGAGTTTCCCAAAAAAGGTCACTGAGAGCAAAATCCTGTCACTGAAGTATTAGCCCAACTATAGAAGCAAACTACTTCCCATTTTGACCACACTTTCAATTTCTTGAGTTTCTACATGGTGAGTTAGTTTGAGAGAATCTGGTAGAAAGACCCCTGGGCTTGGAGCCAGAAAACCTGGGTTTATGGTCTGGCTACTTCATCTACTACGGGATTGTTTGGGCTTGAGCAATTTATCACCCTGTCATAGTCTTGGTATTCTCCACTATGAAATGGGTGTGCTAAGCCCCACCCCCACAAGACTGCTGTGGAAAACATGGTAGGTGTTCAATAAAGATTCGCATTATGGTTAGCGTCCTCGTAGAGTTGTTGTGAGGGGCTTGTGAAAATGAATGAGAAATGACTTTGTAAGCTGTGGAAATATACAGACAGGAGGGCTTATGAAGACTCTAGGCCTTTCGACCTCACCAACGGGGATCCCCCGGAGCTCGTTTCTGTCATTGTTTACCTGTGAGTCTCCGTCCAGTGCTGCTTGGGCATACATCTGCACGGACAACTCAAGGTCTTGTGACTGGTTTTGGTGGCCATAGTAGTAAAGGTCTCCCATTTTCAAATATGCTGCAGGACAAAAAGCACAGGTCCATTTGTCAAGTGGTTTTATTTCAGACCGACATTTTAAACAATTGGCCCATTTGCATGGTTGAGAACTTTCCTACCAGAATCTGAATACCAAACATATTTAGGTTTCCTTGGTGGGTCAGGAACCAAAAAATAAAAAAATGGCTCTTGTGCTAAACCTTCTACACAGATTTTTTGCTTTGCTGGGCAGCTCTCCTAAATGGGTCTGTTTGTGAGAATCAGAGTCTGCAACCGCACAACCCAATCGGCCAAGGTTATTTCACATCTGAAATTGTGCTGCTTAGGTTTGATGACTGACGGGTATTTCTGGTATTTCTTTACTCTGTTTAAGCCACATATTTTATTTTTCCTCTGAGGAAAAAGTTTTAAGAGTGTATGTATCACTCAACGTCCAATCAGAAGAAGAGAATCCATGTCAGGTAGTTCAAAAGAGGGATTTTAACACTGTGAACTGGTTACCAGGGTATTGGAAGAGCTGAAAAGGCAAATGGGAACAACAGACAGCCCAGAAATCAGTAATCTGATCAGCCATCAGCGGCCCAGGGACGCTATCATCATCCCCGGGCTGGGAGCCAGCCGAGACCAGAGGGTGGATGACCAGGCAGGAGCTGGAGCCGTGGACAGGCAGCCATTGCCATAGACATAGACCAAAGCAGAGAGAGGAGGGGAGAAATACTTGGACTTCTTGCCTTCTCCCATCCTGCAACCTCCCTCCAGAGCCTCCCATTGGCTGGCACTAATCAGAGGCACTAGAGCAAAGCAGTCTGGGAACTGTAGCTCCTGAGGGTCAGCCCCCCACCATACAGAGCAGAGCCGAGGAAGACAGGAAATACCCCTGGGGGCAAAAAGGCAAATGACTGGCCCAGAGAGTCTCTCCATAATAGCTTCCTCTTCTGAATTCTCACTGATTCTGAAGAATTGGTGGGTTCAAGCATTGGGTGGACAATGGACTGCATTGCGTGAGGCTGAGAGCAGAGTTCAGTCATGATCTTCATAGCAGAGATTTTTCACTCTCTTTCCTAATTGTTTAGAAATACCACACTTCACACAAAGCTGTTAGATGTTCCCTGTTGCTAAACATTAAAATCACCAGCGAAGCTTCAATTCAGCACCCGTTTTTCCATACATACCAAATGAAGGAGCATCGATTTGAAAAACAGAGAAATTATAGTATCTCCAAACGCAATTAACACCCAGGTATGCCTTGGCCAGGTCCTAAGGGGACGAAGGGGGAGAAAAAGTGAATTCAGTAATATTTCGGCCAAGTGACTCATTTTGCCTCCATAAAACCCACTTCATTATCCTTAACCTTAATGCTTCTACTCCAAGAAGAATACATGTACTTACTGGGCGCTCCTCACAGATGTGTGCTAAATTTGTCTGTGACACTTCAATTCCAGTTTCTGCTGCTAAAACATAATACAGCAAAGCTTCGTGCCTAAAAATAGATGATTAATAATAAATTTCATATAGTGGCTCTCACTAATACTCACAGAGAGCTTTATATTTAAATGTAAGAGGGCACCAAATAAGCAGTTTTTTTAAAACCATAAAATCATGAGTTCTTTTTTTCTTTTTTTAAATAAACACGGTTGTTAAAAATACTGCCTGTACTAATTTATTTCCTATCTTCAAAGCTGAACTCACAGATAAGGTTGGGGAGCTGGTTGGTACAACAGCTACCTCTACTGGCAGAAGGTATGTTGAGTGTTGGCTGGGGAGTTGTCTACTAGCCGTTGGTCCTTGAATCCTTCGGTCCTCGCTTGGAGGAGATAAATGGTATTAAGAAAAAGCCCTGTGTTTCTGAGTCCTCTGTTTTGTGGAAGGCTTTATGCGGCTTAGGATTCTGAACAAGGTTAATTAAAGCTGAACTGTTGTGGTGCATTAGAAGTTTGGCAAAGGAGAGCTTTGATTCCAATGGCCAAAAACACACATGAAAAAATAAATGTTCGACACCACCAGTAATTGAGTAATTAAAAAACAATGGGAGACCACTTTTCATCTGCTGAAAGATTGGCACCCAGTTCATGATAGAGTAACAACAAGGGCTTGGGGAAATGGACATATTCCGACAACTGCTGCTAGTGGGAGGGCCAATTAGACAATGGTTAAATGTGAGGAGTCTTAAGAATGCACAGACCACTTGGCCCAACAGTTCCCCCTGCTCAGAGTTTATTCTAAAGAAACAATCAGAGACATGGGCAAAGATTCTGTGGCAACAGAGTTCACAGCAGAGCTGTTTATGTGAACAAAAAACCCCAGAAACAACTTAAATATCTGAAAATCAGTGACTAGTTAAATTAACTCGCAGTGCAGCCACTTTCAAAGGTGGCTGTTAAAAATGTTGTTGTGGAAGAAAATTCAAAAACAGAAAAACGTTCATGCAAAATTTTCCATTCAGTAAAAAAAAAAAAAAAAAAAAAGGCAGGATAAAAAACAGTGTAAATCCATTTTGGTAAAACAGACATAAAACTGAATACATACCATGTTCACACACACACAGATACATAAATGCAGAGAAAAAGTAAAACCCAAAAATTATCTACCAAAATGCAAACAGTACTTATATCAAGGTGGTAAGAATGGAAATAATTTTTATTTCCTTCTTTTTACTTATCTGATTTCCCCCATTTTCTTCGTTTTACCCAGTTTGTGAGTAGAAATTTATTTTAACCATAAATAGTTGTTTCTAAAGCTTATTTTTCATTCTAAGTAGTTGACATTACTAACTTTCTTAATTTTAGTTCCACCTAGGAACTGGTTTATGGAAGGGTGGGGAGGGGTGGGTTGAGAAAATAAGGTAGGCAGATTCTGAAATCATCTTTTCTACACTGCTAAAGCAGCTTCTGGCAGACCATCTTCTGGGGACACAGAAAGGTGGCTAGGGTCACATTAGGACAGCCAGACTTTCAATCAGATACACTGCAGGCTACTGGCCACGTGGCTGCTGAGCGTGCTGATTCTCAGTCTCTGAGATGCCCAAGGCAGCCGACAAATTAGCCATGACTCATGCTAAAGAGACGAGGCTGGCTAAGCAGTGTCCCCTGCCTAGGCAAGCCAGATAACAAGTCCACAACTGCAGCTGCAAGAACAATACAAAAGACACTGAGGCATTTTCTTACGTAACCTGCAAAAATCATGTTTGGTGACAGAATGCTCAGAGCAGACCCTAGATGGAGGGCCTGCGAGGGAGGCTCAGCAGAAAGTCCCCATCGTTTTGCAATCAGGTCCTGTTCCAAAGGTCTATAATCTCGAGTGTCTTCGGGACACTCAGGCTCACACCAGTGCCTCAGTTTCCCACAGGGGTGGATGAAGGAAGCAGATGGTGTGGACTTGCCAGCCCAAGGTCAAATACTGGGCTGGCTCCCTCGGCTGCTGTAACTGGATCAAATGTGGCTTGACGTTATTAAAATGTAATAAAATGAGTTTTTCTTAGACAGTATTCGGGTAGACTGCTAGACTCTGGGGGGACCCACGAGGCTGACACTCTCTGTACGAACAGAGTCACTATGATAAATTTTATAAGACTAATATCTTGTCTCTAAAGTTACTTTGGTGGTGGGGGAGGGAAGAGAGGAACAAGTTTTAAAGGAAGACTTCCACTTCTAATTATTGTATAAGTCGGGAGGAAATTTCATAGAATTCTCGAGCATTTCCTTTGAGGAAGCACTGGAATCCATCAAAAAGAGATGTCTAAAAGCATTAATGTCAATAGAAATAAGGAACAGAAATTCGCCTCTCTTTTCCCGCTTGCAGAAGCGATCATCAGATGCTGGTACATGCCAGTACCACCACCAGCCATTTTCATGCATCAAAGAGTGAACCATAGGTGAGGATTAGAACACGGAAGATCAGGCTTTCTCAGCTTATTAAGACTTCTGAGATGCCACACCTCTGCAGAAACCCTATCCACATTTAGCCTGCTGGCACTTTGCTCTCACTTAATTGTGTTTCAACAGAAACTGTCTGCAAGTATTAATTACAGATATTTCTACCCTTACATTCATGGAACAAACATTTACTCAGCATTTGCTACGTGTAGGAAGCCCAAAGACAAGCCACAAAACTGTAGTGTCCTTGCATGAATTTCCTCAAGGTTTAGGAAGCCAGCCAGAGCTTCCAGCTTGATTTCCAAAGCACTAAAGTGAAATTGTTCCCCAGGCAGTCCTGATGGGGATGGGGATGGATGAGGAGAGGAGGGGCTTTAGAGTAAAGAAGGAGTCTAGGAGCACGTTTGCCACCCTCCCACTTCAGACTCAGCACATACACTTATAGAACTTTCATAACGATACATCTTAATAACCAATGCTTCGACTGCCTGCTGTGAAGTGTGAATTTGGGCACCTCTGAGCAGTTTCTCAAACAATGATATTATTTTCTCTGTGCTCTTTTCTGCCAATGCCTGAAACAGTTCAAACTGGAAAGATAAAAAAATCCTGGGGTCTCAGTGGAATTCAGGACCCCCGTTCTATTGCAAAAAGGTGAATTTCTTTCAACTGGAACTTTGCATGCCTCCTTGTCTTGCCTCAAGCCCATCACAATCTGGCTAACCTCCTGGGGTAAGTGTTTGGGGTATATTTAAGACAAAAGACAATAAGACACATAGCTCACAGGTAAAACACGCGTAGGGGTAAGGCAGAGAGAAATGAAACATGACAGCCGGCCTCTCCTTAGCTGACTTCTCCTGGTGTCCGAGGACAGCCTCAGGCATGGCAACATTATCTTCCGTATTGGGCCTACACAGCAAAAGGCCGTTCTCTCACTCACACTCTTCATTTAAACTGTCCCATATAAATCTTGGAACAACACAGAAAAGTACAAGCTCATCAAACTGACACACGTAATTTGAGAATAATGCCCAGAATAAATTCACTCACAGAAAATGAAAAAAGGGGATGGACTTGGGACATGGATGGACAATTCAGTCCTATTACTGCAAAATAGATGTCACCAAAAAAAGCCACGTTGGGGTGTGAGGAGGCCAACATTCATATATTTCCCATTTAACCCCTGGGGTGTGTTTGGAGGCTCCGCAAGAAGGAAGAGATAGAAGCCCTTTGCCTCAGATATATTTTGACAAAGATCTTCCCATTGGAATGGATACCAGATGTTTCTTCCCATTGATAGGAAAAGGCTTCAAATCTAGATTGAGACTTATCTTTAACTATACTTAGCATCAGCATCAAGACTGGCAAGGATATGGAGAAACAAAAATTTATACACGGTTGGCAGGGGAGTAAACTGGTAAAATCATTTTGGAAAGTAGTTGGCATCATCTTGTAAAGTCGAACATGTGCCTGCCCTGTGACTCCACTCCTAGGTTTATATTTTAGAAACTCTTCCTATATATGCCAGGAGATACATAAAAATGTTTACGGCCACCTTGTTCTTAAAAACAAACAAACAAAAAAAAATGGGAAACAACCCCAATATGTGTTAACATGAGAACTGGTAAGTAAATTGTGTTATAAGACAGCAGCGAAAATGAATGATCTACATGTACATGTACCAAAAGCTATGAATCTCAGAAACATAATGTCAGGTGAAAGGAAAAAGCTGTTGAAGAACTATATATAATATGATTCTAATAATATGCAGCTCAGAAACAAGCCAAACTAAGTCTTATGTATATGAATATATCCATATACAGTCACATGTCGCTTAACGATGGGGAGACGTTCTGAGAAAAGCATCATTAGGCGATTTCGTCATTGTGCGAACATCATAGAGTGTATTTACACAAACCTAGGTGGTACAGCCTACTACGTGCCTAGGCTACATGGCACTAATCTTATGGGACCATCATCATCTGTGTGGTCAGTTGTTGACCAAAACATCATTACGTGTAGCAAAACTATAAAGAAAGCAAGGGGCAGATCAACAAGGTTCAGGATGATGGTTACTTCCGGGCATTGGGAGTAGGGGTGATCTAATCTGGGAGGGAAATGCAGACGGCTTCAATAATTCATTTTCTTAAATAGGGTTACAGGCGTCCACTTTACTGTTATGCTTTGGAACCTATATATATATAGGACATATTATTTCTACATACCAACTATTATATGATAGAAGAACGGGAAAATAACTCAACTGGCTCACGCTATATCTCTGGCTCAAATGCTCAGCTCCTTTTACCTGGGTTCTGAACTAGCTCCCCCTTTCAGACTCTCCCTTCTCTTCTCCATCAAACACAGTTGTTTGGCTCAGTATCTCCAAACCCAGCTCTGTCATGTCACTACCCTCTCTCAAAACTATCAATGGCTCCCCACTGCTTCACAAATTAAGTAAAAAGTGTGTGATCTGCCATTCAAAATTCCGTAAAGCAGGACTTCTGTGGTCTTTTTATATATCACTCCCTTTTGCAAATCTTACCCTCAAGGCAAACTGGGTGGCTTAAAATTTCCTAGACTCACGCACAATTTTCCTGTCTCTTTGCTTTTGTTCCTGTGATTCCCTTCACCATAAATGCTGTTCCTTGTATGTCTAGTGGAAACCTCACCTATTCCTTAAGGCCATATCATTGGCTACCTCCATCATGAAGGCTGGCAGAAGTTCCTCAAACCAGATAGCTTCTTTTCCTCTCCAGCATCCCTAATGCTCTTTACATACTGCTCAGGGCCCTTCAGTTATGATTATTCTGTCTTTTTAAGCACTTGCCAGGTGCCACGAGGTGCTGGGCTCTGGGATACAAGTCACAGGGCAATCAACAAGTAAAGAGCAGTCCTGATCCATGAAAGGACAAAAGGGAGTAAGGAGTTAGGCAGGACTTCTGGGCAGAGGGAACAGTAAGTGCAAAGGCCCAGAGGTCAGACAGAAGATGGGCCATGAGAGAAACTGTAGGTAGTTCAGCATGAGGAGGAGATGAGGCTGCAAACTTCCTCAAGCCCTACTGGTGGCATCCCCCACAGCTTATGGCAAGGCACCCGGCATTTAAGTGTACTCAGTAAATTGGCTGGACTGGACCCAGCTCACAAACAGTGTAGAACACACTTAATTCCCCTTCCCTTCCGCCAAAAGATAACAACCAAAAACACAATCTCATGTTGTAACTGAATATTCGAAGAAGGACAATAGGTGACAAAAATCTTTTTTTTCTTTTAAGGAAGATTAGCCCTGAGCTAACCTGTGCTGCCAATCCTCCTCTCTTTGGTGAGGAAGACTGGCCCTGAGCTAACATCCGTGCCCATCTTCCTCTACTTTATATGTGGGACGCCTGTCACAGCATGGCTTGATGAATGGTGCTAGGTCCACACCTGGGATCCGAACTGGGCGAACCCTGGGCCACCAAAGCGGAGCAGCTAACTTAACCGCTATGCCTCCAGGCTGGCCTCCACAAAAATCTTAGTTCATCTTGAACTTCAGTGCAAATTTTTAAATGTGCTACCTGAAGTGCTTTGTGATATTAAAGCCAAAAGTAGACAAGAAAGCTAAGCCATTAGCAGAAGCTATTAACAGACACTCTATGGGAAAAACGGTGTCAGACATCTTGGTGTATGTGTGTGTGCATGTGTGTGTGTGTGTGTGTGTGTGTGTGTTGGGGGATGGGTATTTACAGATGTGCTCTCCCTTTGGGGAAACCCATCAAATAAACATTTTCATATTTAATTGCTTCGTTCTCCTTAAGAAGCTTGTAGGGGGGTATGGGTGGGAAGTCTGGAGGATGAGAAGCAGAGAATGAATTAAAGTCAAATTTGGGAGTTTTATGAACTGAAGCTCACTTGGGAAACAAGATAAAACACCACAAAAATCGTAAGGTATATCAATTGGAAAATAATAATTTCATTAAAAAATTTCTTTCCAATTGTGCAAAGTGAGGCCACAGATAATAAACTTTCACAAAATGATAATAATAAACATTTGTATTTGGTGCTTTTTTCATTGAGTTCATTTCCCTCGCATTCTCTAATTTAAGATTCTTGTTTACTGAGATGCTATCTGTTGATTACGGGGGCACCCATGGACCAAAGGAGAAAATGGCATTCTTTTAAACTTATATTTAAAATTTTTTTTTAGGAAGATTAGCCTTTAGCTAACAGGTTTGCCAATCCTCCTCTTTTTACTAAGGAAGACTGGCCTTGAGCTACCATCTGTGCCCATCTTCCTCTATTTTATATGGGATGCCTGCCACAGCATGGCTTGACAAGCAGTGCATGGGTTCACACCCGGGATCCAAACCAGCAAACCTTGGGCCGCTGAAGTGGAACGTGCAAACTTAATCACTGCGCCACTGGGCCAGTCCCTTATATTCTAATTTTTAATTGAGGTTCGGATCAGAGTATGATCGATGACAGGTCTGGTCTAATGTTCTTGAGGCAGCGGACCGAGGGGATATGTGCTGATTTGCATATACTTTTTAGTTATTACTGAAATACCCAGATCATTTAGGCAATAAAGCAGCCAAGAAAATGTGGCCCAAGGAAAAGTAAGAGAGAGTGCTAAGACTCACAGAGGAAACAAAAAGATGGAGTCAGGTAGAGTCTGGAGAGGTGTCACCTTATTTGTAAAATCAAGTAACAGCAACTGGGGAGCATTTGCAAGTCCTCATACGCGGTGTCTCAAGCCATAGAGTACATCATGCTAACTCCAGCAGAAGAAGGTTAGAAAGGGCAGGCTGTTTGGCTGTGACACTGGAGGTTTGGTGAGTGACTCAAGCAATGCCAGGTTCCTGGCCGTGGGAGATGCAGTAAACTATCTACGGAAGAATGCAGCCTAAGCCTTAAACACGCTGCTCTCTCTTCTTGCCACGAGTATGGTGGAAATCCTGGACCTTCCGTGGCCTGTCCTGAGAGGCAGAGGTCAGCTAAGATCCCCTGTGCTTCTTCCAGACTCGAAAACCAAGAGAAGCAAGCTTGAAGGGAGGGGAAGTCAACGCATTCGTGTGTCTCTCAACTTGATGACTGTGGACGCTCCTCCTAGAGAACTGATTTTTGTGTATAATTAAACATGGAAATGCTATGTTTCCCAATCAACGGCCAATCAGCGTGCGATACTCTGAATATTATTGCTGGGAGGTCGTGATTTCCCTGCAAATTGCTTTTTCAGTTGCATTTTAAGGCTCCATCTCATAAGGCTACTCACAGATTGAAAGATAAGGGCTGGGAAAGTGCATTCTAACGCGGGTCCCGAGCTTACCATGAGCCCTCCAGGTAGGCATTGAGGCCTTTGCGAATGACATGGCCCAAGTAACCATTTTTCTCAGCTACGTGCTTTGCCCATCTGAAAAGGAAACAGAAGAGAAAATATACAAACTGTGGTAAATTAAATAATTGCTTTTTCCTTCATATGATCTCAATAAATCCCAGTTGGGGAATATTTTGCTTGTTAGAATTTTTACAGAGCAATAAACCAGAGCTGAATGTTAAGAAGGTAAAGAAAGACGCGTTTTGAGAGCTTCGCATTCAGTGCCTTTTCTTAAGGATGCTTAGGAGCTGTCATGTATGGGAACAAAGACATGAAAGGTATGTAATGACAAATATCCACCAATATGGAAAAAGATAGCCTTCACCAAGAATTCTAATACTCTCTCCTTTAAAATATGTTTAGTGATTTATTATAAGCTTTCCCTATTTTGTTTCCATCCCTGAATTTATCCTGGAGAGGTTTACTAATAATGAACTAGTCTGTTGTAATATTTAGATCTACAACCACTAAAACAATATTATAAGAATACATAACTCACAAGCTAATGGAAGGGGGAAATACAATAATTTTTTAAAAATACTTGATTAATATAAAGGAAGGGCAACAAAAGAGAAAAAAGGTACAAAGAATAGATAGAACAAGTAGGGAATAAATAGTAAAATGGTAGATTTAAAACAGGTACATCCATAATTACAGTAAATGTAAATGGACTAAATACACCAGTTAAAAACTAAAATTGTCGGACTGAATAAAAAATACACAAAACTCCAATTACATGTTGTTTATAGGAGATATACATCAAAATTAAAGGACAGAGAAAGATTGAAAGTAAAAGGTTGGAAAAAGATACAATATGCAAACTCTAACAAAAAAAGCAGGTGTACCAAAATTGACCATATACTGCTCATAAAGCAAGCCTCAGCAAATCTCAAAGGATCAAAGTCATTCGAAATATAATCTCTGATCACAGTGGAATTAAGATAGAAATCAATAACAAAAGGATAACAAGAAAATTCATGAAACATGAAAGTTCATACCAAATGTCCTAACTAACTATGATAAAAAGCCTCAAGTGTGTCTAATTTTATCACTGAGTGCAGGTAACGCTGGGTTGGCTCTCAAATGTCTTATGAAAAATAACCTTTTGGAGAGCTAGACCATTGGTGTGGGGTGGTGTACAGCAGAGGTCTGCAAACTTTTTTTCTGTAAAGGACAAGATAGCAAATATTTTAAGCCTTGTGGCCCACATGTGATCTCTGTTGCGTATTCTTCTTTGTTTGTTTGTTTCACAACACTTTAAAAATATAAAAAGCATTCTTAGTTCTTGGGGCCACAGATAACAGGTGGCAGGCCATGTGTTATCTGTGGGCCATAGTTTGCCAAGCCCTGCAAAGCATTTCAGTTATGCATGACCTCAAAATTGTGCTCCCTGTCGTTCTTCGGGAAGCTACGGCAGGTTGCGCTCTACCAAAATGTAGGAGTAAACCAAGAAAGAGGAATAGGGTCCAGCAAAGAGAACCACAAAAGATAGAAATGAAGGGAGCGGGAACCCCACAATGATGACAAAGGTCATTTCAGGAGGGCAGCTCTGTCCTGAGCAAAGACTCTGGGAGAGATGTTACCAAGAAGATTAAAGCTATCTGGTGGGGCTGGACACACTGAGAAGACATTTAGACAACTGAAGGAGAATCTGGAGACCAACCACATAGAAAATGATAAGTACACAGAAAGCTGAGCAACGAAAGAACAGTAAAATACAGTTGCTATTCCATAGAAAACAAACGCTTTGCAAGAAAGAAAAAGCCAAGTAGTATACCACATGGCTCGGCAGCGAACATGGTCATAATAATGTAAGCCCTGATGCTAATCTGCCATTTACTGGGAAGGTGGGAGAGGGCAGGAAGTATGAATGTGTGGGGTGGCAGGAGTTGGCAGAGCGAGAGAGAACTTTATCTTTCACAGTGGGACATCATTAGACAATGCCTATAATGAAAATAACAAGAAATAGTGGTGTAAGTATGTTATTTAGAGATAGAGGCAAATAAGAAAAAAGTAATTAAAAAATTGAACATATTTTATTCTTGGGAGCAGGACACAGAGCCCGGGGTGGGGTGTGCAGAGATTTCCTGTTTTTTCTTATCAAACTATTTTTTTTTTAATTTTTAATTAAATTTTTGTTTTTTATTTTTGCCTCGTCAAATTTTTTTGCTCTTTAAACTATGTGTGTGTGTAACTGATAAATATAAAAATGAAATTTAAAAAAATGCAAAGAAAAAACAGAAAAAGGAACTTCGTTTTCTCAGGCATGGTGAATACAGCACAGGTTGTCCGCAGCATGTGACAGATTCTTACACAACAGCCTTCTCGGGATCTCTAGGGAACGTCTCCAGGTTGCCTGTGATATAGTAGAGGGAACACCACAAGGTTCCTTCGATGTGTCCCCCTTGTGCAGCCTTATGGAAATATTCACCAGCTAAAGTCTGTAAGAGAGACGGACAAGGTCATTCTCCTTAGCGAGGAGTCTTCCTGGCTGGGCTGGTTTCATCAGAGCCAAGGTGGGGAGGTACTTAACACCTGAGGGCATCACAGCCTTATAACTTCTGCTATCTTTAAGAAAACCGAGGCAAGTTCTAGGAAGACAGCCAACCACAGGAGCTGGTCTCTGGATGTGATAACCTTGACCACAGCTCTTCCATTGGTTAAGTTTGCCCAATAAATAAGACAACATGTAACTACGAATACCAGTGTCATCTCATTTGATCCCGTAACCCCTGCAAGCTAGAAGGAAGACCGTGTCAGAAGCCATACCAGGTGAGAATTCAGGCAGTTGCTTTCCTAACCTGGCTTAAAACCTTTATTCAAATGCATGCACAAAAACTGCATTTCCAGTAGGAAGGTGAGAATTAGAACATGACAATAAAAAATCCACTCTCGCAGATGTGTGGGAGGGTTACCAGACATTTGCAATGCATAAAAATATACCACCTCATATGTAGTCAGAGAGAGGTAGAGGGGGAAAAAATAAAATAAGCACTTTGAGTGGCCTATGTTCCACGGATTGCTATTATTTTTCCAAGGCAGTTAACTGTCGTTTTTAAGCATGGGTCTTAGAGTCAGACAGGCTTGGGTTCAAATTCCAGCTCTGCTCCTTATTAGCTGGGTGACCTCGGGCATGTTCCTTAATCTAACTGACAGATTATCTCAACTTCTTCCACTGAAAAATGTGGCTCCCGACAGTAACTAGCATGAAAAGTTGTTTCGAGGATTAAATGAGATAACACATTCTCGAGGCTTAGCCTGGTGTTTCACAAAAAATGATCTTCTGATTCCCCACCCCCAAGTCTGCCAAGGCTTCCCCATCCCACTAAATGCCCTCTCCACTCTTCCCATCTCAATAAATGCCAAACATGCTGGAGTTGTCCTGATTTCTCTTCCCCTCTCCCACCCCACATCCAATCATTAGCAAATCCTGTCACCTTGACCTTCAAAATTATCCAGAATCCAGCCACAACTCAGCCCCTCTTCTGACCCTGAATCCTTTCTCCCTTGGATTCAATACATTAACCATCTGCTCCTGCTCTGGTCTCCTTCAATCTTAGTCCCCGCTAGGATCCAGGAGGAGCCTCCTAAAACACAGCCTATCACTGCCCTGTTCAAAGCTGTCTGGGAGTTTCCCATCTTGCTCAGAGCTGAGTCATCACAATGACCCAGGCACCTGCCTCCCTGACCTTATCGCCTGCCTCTCCCATCTCCCCTGCTTTCTGGTCCTGCCACTCAGGCCTCCCTGCTATTCTGCGAGCACACTAAGCCTGCTTTCTTCTTGGGGCTTTTGCCCTGGCTGTTCCCTCCTTCTGGAATGTTCTCCCAGATATCTGTAAGCCTCCTTTAGGAGTCTGTACAACATCACATCATCAAAGAGACGTCTGATTTCCCTTATAAAATAGCATCCCCCAATCTCTACCCTGCCTGTCCTCCTTACCCTGCCTTATTTCCCCGTAGCACTATCTCCACCGTCCTCATATTATATATTCATTTGTTTATTGTCTTTCTCCCCCACTGGAAAGTAAGCTTCCCAAGAGCAGACACTGTTTTGTCTGCTGCTGTGTCCCCAGTGCCTGGCGTAGGATGGGCGTTCAATGAACTTTGTTCAATGTAACGATGCTTAGGTTATTATTATCATCATCAAATTATTATTGGTAACGAAAGGCTTCCATTTCACGTGGGGATCCAGGTCCTGACTCCACTAAGTGTGTGACTCTAAGTCACATAAGATACCGTAAGTTTGCTGTATCTCCACGGCCAGAGCCTCAGTTGCTTATTATGTAAAATGGATGTAATAATAGTAACTATTCCAGAGAGTTGTTAGGATAAAATGGGACAGCACACGTAAAGTGTTTTGGCACACATAAAGTGTTTGTGAGTGTCTGGCACCAAGGAAGTGTTCAACAAACACCAAAGATTGTCATTGTTGTTTTCATTACTCTTCAATCTGGTCTCATACCAGGTAACCCTATTAGGACCCAGCTCTCTTTGCTTCTAGTAAGATCTATCTCAGCACCATCTCTCGCTCATTCTCCCCTATATCATCTCCTGCTCCTCTCCCCAGCTCAGGCCTCCCTCCTCCATGAAGCCCTCCTGACTGCACTGGCCTTCACCATTTCCCCTTTCCAGAACTGTTTGGCTCACAGCAATTAGCACATACTTGGCATATGGCTAAATGCCTTCCTTTGCTCTTCACTATCTTGTCTTCCTAACCAGACCCTTGAGTTCCTCGGGAACATGGTCTGAGTCTTGGGTGGTGTCTGTCCCACCCACAGGGCTCGTCCAGGCTGGGCACACAGTGCACCCTCACAAATGCTTCATGATTGAGTGACTGACCAGCTGTACGGCTGGTCTCAAGTCTTACTCACTTGATTCCTTCCAGGAACTCCTGGGAAAATACCATCCAGATACAGGACTCCAAGATTGTATGATGCATCTGGGTTCCCCATTTCTTCTGCTTTTAACCAGTATTGTGCTGCTTTCACATAATTTTTCTTGAACTTGTGGTAATACCATCCCAGGCCATTGACTGCCTGATGCAATCCCTGGATTTTAGAACAAGAAGAAAGAAATTACTTTTTTTTTGTTTTAATGAAACCTAAAGAGAATTGATTGTGAAAGCATTCTGCTGGAGTCTGAGCAAAACCTTTCCTGTCTCTTTTTTGGGACAGATGGCATCAAAGAAAAGCTAAGTGCTCGAAAACACGAGCCCGCCTCAGAGTCTTCCCAGGTGGATTTCTCCCGGCTGCTGCTGGGATTTTCGCATTCCAGCTCAACAGTGATGCTGGCCCCCAAATCATCACTCCCCTCCAATGGGCTGTTACGCAATGCCCTTGTCTACAAAAGGCCTCTTATTGCCCTGAGTATCAAGAGTGCCCTGAAATTCAGGAAAGCTCAACTGCAACAGGAGGCCTGAAACCTGTCCTGGCGGGGACGGTTTCTAGGTGACCCACCTGCCCATCTGTTGATTACCCTGCCCTGAACACCAGCAAATTCTCGGAGAGAAGCAGCTGCAGCATCCTACTTGCAAAGCACAGGTGCCTTGTGACTGCTTAGCATCCCAGCTCGGCCAGGTGGAGTCTGGTCCGGGCTGAGGCAGAAGGGGAGGGTGGTGGAGAGGGGGTGGGTTTCAGAACTGCATCTAAACTGGCACCAGAGAAGGGCTGGTTCATGTGAATCTAGTCTCGAGCGTCTTTGTTCTTGCTGATTCATGCTATCAGATGCCCTCCTCTGCTTCCGCAGGTTTGCACCCAGGTGCTCCCACCTGCTTCCACACGACAGCCTCCAGTCTAGTTGCTGAAGGCTCAGGAGCCCCGCAGGGGTGTGAGGGCTCCTGACAGAGCCTCCTGCCCAGCAGGGAGACACCTGAGTGCAACCTGGGAATGCAGTGCTCTCCTTCCTCCCATCCTGCTAGACCCACAAGACCAGGAACCAGCAGAGGAAAAAAGGATTCGAGGGGTGACAGTGCCCTTGCCTCTGAGAGAATCCTAAGTGCAGAACCAAATCTCCTTCACCTTCCCTTTCATCCGGGAAAGATAGGTGTTCCTTGACAACAGATGCCAAGACCCCAGCCTGCAGCCTTTCCAGTCTGCAATGGCTCCTAAAAGGCTGTGCTTCCTAGTCTTTATGTTGGAATCTGGGTGCCAGAAAGCCCAGGAGAAAGAAACTAACAAAACTCGTAGAACAGAAGCTCCATGAGGGCGGGGATCTTTGTTTTGTATCTCAAGCACCTATATGAGTGCTTGGCACAGAGTCGGTGCTCAATAAATGTTTGATGAATGAACAAGAGCCACCCTTTGAATGCTGATGCTAAACAAAATGGAATCCAAATCCTCTACTCTGAGGATGGAGAGCAGGGCTCAGTTTTGCAGGTCCGCAAGAAAGCAGACACCTGGGAAAACGTTAGTGCCCTGGATCCAGTCACAGAAGCATTCTTCTTGAGCCTCGCCAAGGACCAGGTGCAAGGCAGGCTCCTGATAAGTCCTGCAGACTGTGTTTCAGTGAAGTAACAGAGCAGGTCATTGTAGAAAGTGGCAAGAACCAGCTTTGGAAGAAGTCTACAGAAGGACACATCAACGTGGCTTTTACAGTGAAGTCAGGGGCCCCAGGCTTATTCACATGCACTTGTCATGAGTCAAAACATCTGCAGAACTCCTTAGGAAATGCATTTGGACCAAGTTCCGAGCCCCATGAGAACTCCTGTCTTATTTCTTAATACTCATACCTTCTTCTGGATATTTACACCTCAATCAACAGATTTGCCTTCACATGACTTCTGGCTAAGTCCAAAAATCAAACTATAGGCACCTTCACCACAGTGCCCGACAAAGGGTAGGGGCTTAAAAATTCCTTGTTGGGTAAATGAGTGAGAATCACCTAATACTTTCAAAGATGTGACTACTCTGAGCCATAAAACTGCATTTCCCCAATACTTATCTAAGCTCAGCTAAAAGTCCCTTCAAAATAAAGCACATTAGACATCAATTCACCACTAGGATGGCTAAAGAGATGCAAATTTCACACCTGCCAGGAAGCCCCATAACTGCCCCATTTTAGGACACTCTGGAACCAATGCCCTCAGTGACCGTCATTAAACTGCTTTTCTATTTCTGCGCTACAATTTGTTGGGGTCGGAGCTGATGTGCACTTCCCTGGGTTCCCTTCTCCTCGGTCATGTGCCCTCTTGATACCCCATAGGCGGAGGAAAAGCCTCTTGGCTCTCTTACTCCATGCTCCACCTCCCTCTTTAACAGAAAAAAGACACTCTGAGCTCCCTAAAGAAAGGGAATGAGGAAGAAAAATCCTCATGATAACGTCAGGAGTCTTTGTTGACAGGGCAAATATTAGCAGCCTTTGGGATGGAGGCACATTCAAGAGCCAGAAGAGCTACACAGGGCCCTGTCAAGGTTGTAGAATTACAGTGGTTTCTACAAATTTATTTATTTGCAAATATGCGTGAGTGTGCATGCATTGGGCATGTGTGTTTGCACACAGGGATATGTGTGCATGCATGTGTGTGCGTGTGTGTGCCCCCTCCCAAATGATATTTAACTTGCATTCTGTGTTGCTATACTGAAACTAGCTGACTTGAAGATAACATTGAAGAGCAAATAGTGACAAAAGCAAAATAATTCCTAAGACTGACAATGAACTTGATAAATAGCCCCATTATTAAAGCACGGAGAAGTAAATGGGCATTGGACACGACAGGGTTAACCTTCAAAAGAATTAGGCTTTTGGTTTTCCTAATTCAAAGGCATTTATACCTATTCAATTTCAAGGAGCCCTTGCTGCTTGTTATCAGGGCAGCCCGTGATTATAATTTTAGCCTTCAAACAAAATTGGGCTGAATTCTATTGACTGGAAGGTGAATTCAGCTTTTAAATTTTGCCGTCCCCATTGTGGCAGGTTTCTGTATGTGCGTAGCTCAAAAATGACTGATCAGTGCAGCGCTGGCGACCCCCCACCCCCCCACTGCATTTCTACCTTCCAGCTGAAGCCTGGCCATTCACTCTCGCAGACTCGCAAGCGTGTGGGTGTGTGTGGTGGAAATGTTTCCTTCTGACAATATGCAGAAGTGTTACCTTGGAAGCGGCTTTCTTCATCAGCTCTAACGCAAGCTGTCTGTTCTTTTTTACTCCTTGACCCTAAACAATGATAAACAGCAATGATTACGAAGAAAATAAACCCGGGGCACACTCAAAAACATTACACAGATACATCAGTGTTTGATATAAAATACTTAAAAATAAAACCCAAGCTTTCTTAATTAAAAACCTAATCTTACAGATTTCTATATGCAGAGCCATTGCGTTATCACCATCACCATCATTATTATTTGGCTTATATTTGTGGGGTGGAGGCAACAAACCTCACCCTCCCAGCCCAGCAGTGACACAAAATTCCCTGTTTGTCATGGAGCGAATCTCATTCCCATCGATCCACAGGTGCTGCTGGGAGAAGATGTGAATAAGGTTACGTGAGTTTGGTCATCCTGGATGTGTTTCTCTGGGGATTACCTAATTTGTGAGCCGGATAAAGGACTTTATCTGTGTTGGACAGTCAAGAGTTATTAGGCTGTCATTTGCAGTCTTCCTGGGTCCTCACAGAAGTCCCCAGGGTGGTACACTGCGGCTTCACAATCAGCTCAAGAACCAGCTGTGAAGGAGACAGGACCCCTTGAAATCGGTTGCTTCAGAGAAGCTGGCAGAAACTGACAAGGTTCCTCCTGCAAAAGCAAGTTCTTCCTGCAGAAGTGGTTTGTGCTCATGGAGAAAAATGGCTTTGGGGTTCTGGTTACAAGAGAGCAACCCTGTGGGGCCACACTGAGGTGTCTGCAGGACCCCGTGGGGGAAATGGTGGGTCTGAGGAGGGGCTCCTGAGCTCTCTCTTGACGTAAGTCTGACAATGAAGATGGTAGGCAAGAGGAGCCAGGTGAAAACCACTGCTGCTTCAAAACTCAGTCTGCTACGGACACCCCGTGCCCCTCAATGTACCCCACGGAGTCCTCCTGGTCTCAGACACAGTGGTTGACGAGGGCACATGTGATATTATGTAAGAGGGTTTGCAATGACTACAGTTATTAACACTATTTAAACACTTAGCTCTATGGTGAATGAAGACAGCGCTAGTGAACAGTTCTGTGCTAATTAACAGGGGCCAAGCACTGTCCTGTCATATCCAGTCCTCACAGCGGCCCTGCAGAGGTGCTGCTGTCATTCCCCTCTGAGAAACTCGCTCAGAATCACACAGTGAGTGAGAAACAGAGGCAGGATTTGAACCCAGGCAGGCAGGCTCCAGAGTCCAAGCTTATAACCACCATGGAATATTTTCTCCTGTACACTTCAGTTCTATGCTGAGAAAGGGTGATTCACAACCTCCTTGCAGGATACAGAAAACATGTAGGGTATGTGGTCTCTATAATTTTTACATCCTAAGATAAAATTCTGGCTCTAACTAAAGGTTAAATTCCATACACTGAGTTTCTACTAGACTTTAACTTACCTATTTAATAAAACCAATGAGCTGAAGCAAAGTGAAAGATGAAAATATTTTTCAGAAGTGCACCATTACTTCATTTAATTACAGAGAGGAAAGAGAAAAGGACATGAAGATTACTTGGCATAATTGGCTAGGGCGATGAGACAACCTTTGTGGACTGAAGAAGCATCAGAAAGACCAGAACGGCAGAATGTTAGAACCTGGTTGAACTCAAAGTTTATCTCCTCCAGCTTCCTGGTTTTGAAGGAATAAAACCGGGACCCAGAGAGGTTGACTTATCCAAAACCTCACAGTTAGAGCTGCACCTAGAACTCAGATACTGTGATTTCCAGACCAGGGATTTTCCAGTATACTTGCTATTTAATCAGAAGTGGGATCGTTTCTTGCACAAAGACTACATACTACACACAAATCAGAGTAGTATTGGAAGCTGTTAAGTGAGAGAAATGGAAAGTCTTGGTATATAGCAATTGCTCACTAACTATCCACTGAATGAATTCAGGAAGGACAGTTGCTACAGCAAAAGTCAAAGCTCCACCCTCATGTGGATGCAAAATGCAAAACTCGACTGTGTAGACAAACCACAGCCACCACCATGGTGCCCTCTTTGAATACAATAGGCTGAATACCCACACAAAACCAAGTGCACGTTACTGTCCTTCACATTTGGAAAGTCCATTTTCTGCATGGGGTTCTTTCACATGGGTTACAATTAAAGAGACCTCTGGCCAGAGGTAAAAATGTTCCTTGAGATGCTGATAAAAGTCTTACTTCATCCCTCCCAGGGATAACTTAGTTAGAGGGCAGGAAAACCAGAAAAGCTTTCAGGTTTGGGAAATCAGACCCTGAGAAAACCTTATGACATCTCCAGAGTCATTTATTCATGTATTTGCCTCTCCCTCTAGATTGTGAGCTCCAGGTGGGCAGGAGTAATGTCTGATTCATGCCTTTCTCCTCTCCACACTTTGGACAGTGGCCAGCCCCAACTCTGGTGGACAGGTGTCTCTCCTCTGTGCCTGTCTCCTTCGTGCTTGTTTTCCCCACCAGCGTATGAGCCCCCCGAGTTCAGGGACGCAGCTCATGCATCTGATGTCCCTCCATCTAGCACAGTCTGGCATTTTGTCAGCCCTAAATGGTGTTTACTGAATAAATACATGGATGCATTGGCATATGGCTAAGAGTCAAATCATTTCTATGCTGATTTGGTGACTGGAAAGAAAAAGTCCTGGCTCTAAATTTGGAAACCACAACAACCAATAGATTTTAAGGCTTTGGAGGGTTAGAAATGCAGGAAAAGTCATAGCTGTTAATCAGTGAGTGGCCACAGCTGTGGTTCTGTGGGGTGGGGCTGGCCCCGTGAATCCACATCTTTGTCTGGAGACACTCGCTATCTGGGGGCAGCTGCTTTCTCTGGGTGTGGACATGCGGTCCGAGTGTTTCCTCATCAAAGCCAACGGCTTTTTACTTTTCCAAGATTGGTGAATTGATGCTTCTGTTTATGGATTTAAGGGCAGACTCTGAAGGCAGACTGCCTGGAGCCCATTCCCAGGTCTGAAATGTACCAGTTGTGCAACCCTGGGCAAGTTACAAAACCCCTCTGTGCCCCTGTGACCACAAATATAAAGAGCAATCATAACACACCTCGGTGCCTACCTCGCCAGGTTGTCATGAGGATTAAATGTGTTAATACACGTAAATCAGGTAATGAGGGCTCGATCAATCAGTGTGGACTATTATTATTTCATATAAGATACAGTATTTTACAGTTCTCAAAGCCTGTTCATTATGTTATCTCATTCGATCTGTGGTCATTACCATTGTCCCATGAGATTAGATGACTCCAAGGACACACAGCTGATGGCTGCAGAGGAGGGACTTGAACTCTGTCCTCTGTTTCCTGGGCTAATGCTCTTTCCACCCATCCCCACCATTCTCCTATTGGCTTAAAACCAAGATTTTTGTTTTGATCAATGAGACTGTTGAGATCCAGCCCAAGCACGCACTGTGTTTAAGCTGTAATTCAATGGCAACTCTGCGTGGTGGCGAACTTGCAGCACCTTTGGGGGCTGGCAACCATGTCCCAACCCGTAAAATATGGGTGTCTCCTCCAGAAGCCTACAGTTCTTGCAAAAGCAAAGAGAATCCAGGTGTCAAACAGATTAATGATTAAAAACGAGACCAGGCGACTGCTTCTGACTCCGCTTTTTCAGCAAACATCCCTTTCCTTCCACGGTGACAGAAGCATATAGGAAACTGCTCAGGAAGTCTGACAAGAATTGCAAATTTCAGCACAAACTGAGTGATTCTTACCTTGAATAACACAATGGCATAGTCGTAGATTAACGCCGGGTCCTCGGTCTCCAGGGCGCCCTTGGCGTACCACTCAATCGCCGCTTCCGGATTCTTGGCCACACCTTGCTGGCCCCAGAACAGCATCTGGGCCAGTCGTTGCTTCAAGACAGTAGCAATTTAGAATACTGACTTTCCTGTGTAACACTTCACATAAGACTTTAAAAGTCTTTAAAAGGTAGGAGGACAAAGCTAGTTTAAAATGTTTTTATATTGAGAACCAAGAACTAGGCAGACACAGGACACATGTTAGCTTCCAACTGGGGGCCAGAGCCCTGAAGGTGGACTGGTGTAAACATAAGTCCTTCACACAAGCTGGAAATGGTCCGTCGGGGCATGCAAGTGAATGACTCTACCGCACCCAGGGCCACAGCTCGATGGCACTTGGTCAAGAAGCACAACTGTCTCCTCCCTCAAGAGCCCCCTCCTTTGGAAAGTACTGCCCATCCTCTTGGCCCACTGAACAGTGTGGAGGCCTGTGCCCAGCCGTAGTATTGGTTAGAGCAGCCTTCTGCGCTCTTATCTCCTCCTAGCCCAGCGTTTGTCAACATGGCTGGCTCCACCATTAGCCAGAGCCTGGGAGCTCTCTGGGGGTAGGAAGCTCAAGATCTTATTTATCTGCCCTCGTCCCCTCCGCCCTCACCCAGCAGAACTCAACAGAAGCTTGCAGAACAAAGATCTGCTGAATGAAGGAAGGTAGAGGCGTCCATTGCCAGGAAAGTTCATGCAAGCTGTGGAGCACCCAGTAAACGGCTCTGGCCGCAGCATTTCCAGAACTACGCACTGGAATGTCTTCCTGCACTAGGAAGACCAATGAGGCTAGGGACAGGCGTCTAAGATGGGAGCCAGAGGCAATGCCAGTTAACATTCTGGCCCCCTGTGGGCCCCTTATTGTCATCCCTTCTTTCTGCTTCTCCTCTCATCTCCTTCTCTTTCCTTTCCCTGCAAATACTTAAACTTCCAGCAAAGTACCTCCTGAAATGCCAGGAAGACCTCTACGAAGGGGTACAGACCTCTTACTACAGAGTCTCTGAAATGTCTGATTGTCAATCATTTGTTCTTTTCTGTTTTCTTTCTCTTTCCCATCCCTAGGCTTCTGCCTGCTTAGCAGACCCAGTGGCTCTTCCCGACACTGTGCTCACCAGGAGCACGAAGCAAAGCGAAATCCACCCTTTGGGAAAGAGGCTGGCTTCCTCCCGCCCGGTGCCATCAGCCTTAGCAGGCTCCCACCAAGGCCTTTTCTCCATAGTGAAATCAAGGCAAGAAGTCAGACAGGACACATCCTCCCCTCTGCCCTTTCTTGTACCTCTTAAAAGTCCATCCAAAAGACAAGGCATGTTCACAAGACAGGGTCGATCCTTTCAATCTAATACGCCACACGTGCTTTTCTACTGTTCTTCTAGCTGAATTCATGGCCTTATTTTCAATGCCCATCTAATCTCTCCTGCACCCAAGATGCTTCTTTTTATTTCTGATGCACTAAAATGCCTGAGGGTAGTCTTTAGGACTCATTGTAAATATTGTGGACCTCTCTCTTTCTCGACAGGGTAGGACTACATTACCAGCCCACTTGAAGTCAAGAATGACCAAGTGACTTGCTTTGGCCAATGCAGTGTGAGATGGGACTTGTGCCACTCCTGAGCAGAAGCGTTAAGAGCCAGCCTGTGACCTGCCACGGTCGTCGCCCTGCTGCAATGGTTTTGGAATTACGTGTTACCGTGAAGTCTCTGTTAGATTAGGTTCCTAGGGGACCACGAGAGCACAGCCTATGCCAACCCCCACCAGATGAGTAGTGTGAGCAAGAAATAAATCGGGGTTGTTTTAAGCCACTGAGGTTTGGGATATTGTGTTACCATGGCATAACCTGGTCTATTATAACTGATAGAATTTCCAAGACAGTGGACTGTATCTTTACCTGAGCTGCCGCATTGCCTCGGGTAGCTTCATGCTTCAACCACATAAAGACGTCTCCGTCTTCTTTTGTTTGTACCTTGAGTGTTTCATCATCTTTTAGTCTAATTGTTTCAACATATGCCTAAAAAGGAAGAAAGGAGGGAAGGAGGGAGGGAGGGAGAGAATGGAAGCAGGGAGAAAAGAAATATCCAAATGATATGGGTATGCAAAAGACATGACATTATTCATAAACCACCAATTGCTCAAGGAAAAACCATATGAATAATTGAAATATGAGGTGTGTCCACAATGCCATAAGATCAAATTCTTTTCAAATGAATATATCACATCTCATGTATCTGAGTATTTTTGTTCCTATCAAAGCGTCTGCCTTGGAAGGACACAATTTATTCCATTTCCACTTCTATTGCTCAAGCTTGTTCAGAAGACCACTTCTGTGCCAATGATTTCAGAACCAGATTACACACAGCATCAAAAAAGGTAAATCAATATTTTCTAAGTATAACCTTATTATTTTTTTTTATCCCAAAGTGTTATTATCCTGCATGACTAACCCTCCCTATTTAGCAGGCTCAGCTTCAAATATCTTTTGGCTATTTCCAAAAATTAAATTTACCCTGCAAAGAAGAAGGTGCATTAACTCTGAGGATGCGAGCAAGAATCTGCTAGAGGCTTTAACGATGAGCCCAAAGGGAAAGTTCACAAAATGTTCTGAATTTGCACATAGCCTCCCCGTTATCTGACTCCTTTGAAGAGAATAAGACTCATTTTGATGTGTAACTTTTGGCTGTTTAACAAAAAACTGGCCCTGTTGTTTCACGGTCTCCCCTTAAATAATGAGCCCTATCTACCCGTGCTGAGAGGGGTTCCTGAAAGGGCTGCCATGCCCAGCGCATGCCACAGGCAGATGGTGAAAAACTGGATCTGGATGAGTCTGGGAAAGAAGCCTCAGAAAACAAGCAGCCTGATTTCCCCTGTGACCTCCTTTGTGGGTTAGTTCTGAAAGTACTTAGATTCACAAACTCTAGTCTGCAGCCCCGTTCCTGAGAAGGTCTCTCAGCTGCCTCTGCCCCTTGGCCGCGTGGAGCCAGGGTCCTTTTCAGAGGCATTGGGGTGGGGGGGGTGAGACGTGGGGACTGTGCTAAGACTCAGAACCCAGCAGGTGTCAATTCCTGATGGATGTCTAACCTGGAGAGGCACCAAGCGAATAGCCACAGCTAGAATATGGCGCCCACTACCTTTTATTGAAACCAATATGTGCCAGGTGTTTAACAAACGTTTTTTATTTAACCCTCACGACAGGGCTGCAGCCCAAATATCACTGTCCTCAATGGATAAGCAAAGAAACCGAGGCTCAGAAGGCGAAACCGTGAACTCAAGGTCACATTGTGGAGCTGGCCCTGGAAGCCAGGCTGGCTTGACTCTAAAGACAGGGCTCTGAGCCCCTCCCCCATGATGTTGCCCTCCAGAAAGAAGCCCCTGGAATCCTATCTCATTGAGTCTTTGCCAAGTGTGCTGCCAATGAGAGGGCATTTCAGCCCACACTCCAGGGGACACTCTGTTGTCTGTGATGAGCCTGGAACTGGGCTGAAGCTCAAGCTGCTCAAATAATGGAATTCTCAGCTAGAAGATTTTGTTCAACTGGAGAGTTTGAGTGTTTTAATTTTTAGTTGTCCTTCTCCTTTCCTTTGATTCCCTCCTCCTTCACCTGTGACAAGACTTGAATGGAAGACATAACATATGAAGACACAGTTCCCACACCCTGCAGGGATTTATAAATCCCTTATAAATTTATAAATCCTCTTAGGTGTTTCTGCTATGCTGGTGGTGACAGTATATCCTAAGAACCAGCTTAGACTGCATGCCAGGCACTGTTCTAACTGCTTTGCCCAGACTGACTCATTGAATCTTTGCAACCTTATGAGATAGTCACTATCAATATTCCCATTTCACCCAAGTGGAAACTGAGGCCCAGAGAGCTGAAGTAACTTATCCAAGGTCATATATCAAATATATTCTTCAAACTTAGGAGTCAAACCCAGGCTGGCTGGCCATGGGGCCCACAGTCTTCGCTCAGCCTCACCACCCTGTGCAGGACTCATGCATCTGGGAGGAAGCAAATGGCAGGCCGTTTCATTGTGTCCCTCCATAGACAGTGAACTCTATCCACAGTGCCTTGAGGGGGGTCTTGGCAAAGACCACGTTTCCGGGGGACCTGGGCAACCATGCATAACTCTGAAGAACGAACAGTTAGTCTTTGGATCCCTATCCCCTGACCCAGGCCTGTCTCTCTCCTCTGGGAGGTGCCATGAGCTTTACAGCAGGGTGGGGCCATTAAAAGCACGAACTTTCACATCTGACGCAGGGGACTTGAATTCTAACTTGCCACTAACTACCTGTGGGCCTTGGGCCCCTAACTTTATTTATCTGAGACTCAGTTTCTGCCTCCACGAAATGGAGCTTAGCCTGGTACCTGCTCTACCAAAAGCACTCAGCCTATTAGCCATAACTTTCTACAGCATGAAGAGTTAGAAAGACCTGGGCTCAAATCTAGGCTCTGCTACTCATTTGCTGTGTGACTTTGGGCAAGTTCTTTGGCTTCTCTGAGTCTCAGTTGCCTCATTTGTAGAACAGGAACAACACTCGTACTGACTTCAAAGGATTGCATTTATGTTTTCATAAACATGTGCTTGTTTATGAAAGAGCTTAGCATAGTATCTGGCACATGGAAAGCTCTCAGTAATGGGAACTCATCATTCTTTAGGTCCTTCATCCATTCTAATATGTAAAAGAGTGATAGCAGTTTAGAACATTAGTTCTCCTATTGATATTTGCAGTTTTGTAGAGCTGAGAGCCTTACAAAATTGTGGGGATGAAGATCCATTTAAGAAGACAGAAGAGATAGAATTTGAGGAGGCAGTGCTGGGAACAGAAACACTGCAGAGAGCACACACTGTGTGCTAGGCTCCACGCAGCACACGTCATGAGGATTAACTTACTTGTGCTGTAAGAACCATGTGAAGTGCAGACCATCATGGCACCCATTTCACAGGTGAAACGGTGTAGAGACAGAGAGGCGAGCGGAATTATCCAAGACTTCACACCCAGTGAACAGCAGACCTGGAACTTGAACCCAGGCAAACGTGGCCCTGGAGCCACATCACAGTTGCCTGCTACACCCAGGCAGGTGGCTGCCTCTCCACAGTTCTGGGGTCACCACAGTGGCAATTAGCACCACGTCAGAGCCACATGCCTAGGGCCTTCTGTGAAAGCCAACCACCTATAAAGCCTTGGGATAAAGAAAGAAGCCCTGAAAGGGAACAGTGTGAGGCTACTCATTCATTCAAACATCTCGTGACCAGGAAATGATGCTTCAGATGTGACCAATGAGGAAAAAGTTGTGGGGTGGAGAAGCAACAGTGGGAGCGAGGGTAGGGGCAGAGCTGGTGGAGATGCTATAGGATCCCAGCGTCCCAGACTGACCAGTTCTGGGATCTTGGGTGGCTTCTGGGGGGTTCTTTCTGTTGCTGTGTTGTAAAATCAATGTGTCTAGAATGAATAGTTTGTATCTGACACTGCAGAGTTAAAGCCCGCTGACGAGGTCAGAGGAGGTCCAAGGTCTGGAGACTGTGCCATCCTCAGGGCGCCCTTGAGCCAGTGTCCGAGAAGGCTCCACGCTCTCCCAGAGGCACTGACACTTCACAGGCTTCACCTCCTCTCTGTCTGCTCAGCCTACAGGCTACAAGGGCAGTGTTCATGTTACGTCAGCTGGCTGCCATTGACCACAGTGAAGGCAGGGCAGAGGGGAGAATGGGGAAGGGCTGGGGAGGGTGAAGGCAGTGGTGGAGACAGAGAAAGGAAGAGGGGAAATGAGAGAAAGAAAGAGAGAAGGGAAGAGAGGGAGGGAGAGAGAGAGAGGAAGACAGATAAGGCAGGAAGGAAAACAAGCCCTGCAACTTGGCAGCTGGGAGCAAAGGCTCGCAGCCCCACATTTTCCGGAGCGTCTGCGTTCTCTGGAGCGGTGGAATACGACGGTTCAGCCAGCACTCCCGGGATCTGAGGCGCAGGGTAAGTTCAGAGGCTCCACGTAAACAGCCTACCCCCGCCAACCTCCTTCAGGGCCTGTGGGAACCGCCAGCAGGAACCTGCCTCTCAGGGTGTTTAAAATCAGCTATAACGTTTGGCTCCCGATACGGGGGGTGTATTTCTTTGCTGAAATTTAACATTTTAGGGATTTTAAAGTAAGAACTGGGGAACACAGCTGTAACAACGGAGAGAAAGGGAAGCAAGTACACCAGATTTCCCAGACGGGGATGTCACATACAAGGCTGAATGCAAGAGAGACAGTCTAACGGCAAGTGCTCTGGGCGCTGGCTGTCGACAGTGAACACTGTCACATCCAAAAGCAGTAGAGAGTCACAAAACACTGTGATCCCTTTATGTTTGCCACTGGAGGCTCTGCACTCCTGTCCTATCTATCATCCCAGTGGTAAACAGTGAGCACCAATTGTGTATCAAGCACAGTGCTGGGCACTGGGGTCACTGATATGAATAGACGAGGTGCCTGTCTCAGGGAGCTCAGAGTCTCCTGTGGGAGCCAGATCTACGACCCTGTACACAACACTCATCCTAAGAGCCAGGGCAGGGACGTGCCCGGGGGCCATGGCCCCATAGCAAAGGGGAGATCTGGAGGAGGAGGTGATGGATGAGCCCTGTCTTCAAGGAAGTGAAGAGTCAGCAGGCAGGACAGGAGGAGTGGGTATGGAGAAAGCAAACCAGGCAGAGGAGACCAAGCAGAGCCAGGAGGCATGAACAGCAAGGTGTGGCCAAAAGCTTAGTGTCGCCCGAGTGGGCAGGTGGAGCAAGGAACGTTGAGAGTTGAGGTTGGGGAAGCAGAGAGAAACCAGATCAAGGAATGCCTCCTATGTCAAGCACCGAGTTGGACTTAGTGCTTCTTGGTCAGTACTTCTCAACTCTGGCTGAATATGATGATCATTTGAGGAGCTTTGAAAATACACACATACACACCCATTATCACTGCAATAAGACTATGGGGTGGACCCTGTGCATGGGTATTCTTGAAGCCCCCAGGTGATTCTGATGTGTGGCCAGGTTGAGAACCTCAACTGTCCACAGCCCACTTTGTGCTTGGTAAAAAGAGAACGGGAAGGGACAAGATGAGTGACAGGAAGACCAGTCAGGAGGCATGCTAGTTTGCTAGGGCTGCCATAACAAAATACCACAGACTGGGTGGCTTAAACCATAGAGATTTCTTTTCTCGCAGTTCCAGAGGCTACAAGTCCAAGATCAAGGAGTTGGCAGCTTTTGTTTCTTCTGAGGGCTCCCTCCTTAGCATGCAGATGGCCACCTTTTTGCTGTGTCCTCATATGGTCACCCCTCTGTCTGTTTTGTCAGTGTCCTAATCTCCTCTTCTTGTAAGGCTGTCAGTCACATTGGATTAGGGCCACCTAATGACTCCGTTTTAACTTAGTCACCTCATTAAAGGCCCTGTCTCCACATACATTCATATCATAGTGTGAGGGCTTTGACATATGAATTTGGGTCCATAACAAGAGGCTGTCACAGTGGCTCAGGGGAGAGATGATGAAGGACAAATGTAGGCTGTGGTAGCAGGGATGCAGACGGGAGCAGGGGGAAATTGGCAGGTAAAGCTGTTGGGGACTGTAACTGATGGGATTACGGAGGGATCAGAGATGACTCAGTTGCTACCGTGAACAATGGTGCCATTGGTTGAGGTGTCTCTGGGGAACGGAGAGGAGATGAGGTGGTGTGTTTTCTTTGTGGTTTGTTACAGTGCCAGAAGGGAGCTTGTAAGAACAACCTCAGCCGGAGAGGAAGGTTTTAGTGTCATCAGTATGTGGCAGGCATTGAAACGAGGGGTGTGGATGGCACCCCTGCCCCTCTAGAAGTTGTAGAGAGAGGAGGGTGGGGACCAAACCTTGCAGAAAAGCAAATTCTGAGGAGTGGAGAGAATGAGACAAACTCATTCGCAATTAAGCCACAAAAACAAACAAAAAACCCTATTATCTTCTTTCTCTTTAACCGGAAGCAAAGCCCCACTAAATCATGAAGAAGTGACGTGAAGCGAGATTACTAATAAAGAAGATGCATTGATTCGAACCACGAGTTACATAAAAAAGAAAATGAAACAAGAATCAAGAAAGGAGCTTCTGACAGATCCTTGGTTTGTTAATTAGAGGTCTGGCTTTCCCTATCTCATTTGTTACGTGTTGCTGGTGAATTAATAGATTTCTCAACAAAAGGACATTTAAATCAACGTACGACACCTGCTTAAATTCTCAAGAAGCCATTAATTACACATTCTTAAGAAAATGAGCGATGATACAATCTTCTAACTGTATAATTCGTATCTGTGATTCTTAATCATACGACTTTTCAGCTGCAAGACGGATCTTTCCTATTCCTCTTCTCTGGTTCAGACCAATTAAACATTTTCTTTCATAATCATAACATTTCATATGCCAAATCTTCAAAAGAAAAGGAGCTTGTTAGCAACATACCATTTCCCATTGCTAATTTATGCTGAATCAGAATTCTTAAAAGTATAATATACGCATATAGGGCATTATTAACACATTCAGGCTTAGTAGAACAATGGCAATATTCTTTTGTGGCTTGATTTTGTATGAATGTTTTTTCAGAATAATTCCTTTTTTTAAAAAAAGTTATCAATTAAACAAATTAATTCCTGTCAAACTGAGGTTAAATTTTACACATAGCTTGTATACACTGAGAGAACACAAATGATAATGATGAGTGTGCACGTTTCTTCAGAAGAAATCATTATTTCCTAAAGGAGTTAGGGTGTATATATAGACAGCCTTTTGGTGTGTTATAGATTGACTCGTGTTTAATGTTCACTGACACCGTATATCTTTGAGTCATTTATTTCATAACCATAGAGTGGCCAGTGTAGGTTTCTTTTCCAGAAACCACCCGTTCTCAATCATCAAAGCACACATTTTCTGCACCGCAATTTTCTTAGCACAATCCAGGAGCAGCGCTGGGAAACAGTGAAGGGTCTAGTTCCCAGTTAGCTGCTCAGCCCAAGTTTCTACAATCCTGACCCAGCCAGGCTTGTCCCTAAATCTCCCCAAGCATAAGCAGGGAATATCAAGAGTTTACAGTGTAGACCAGAGCTGAATCCAGCCATGCCATTCACGTACTGTCTATGGCTGCGCAAACCCAGGCATCCCATTTGTTTATATATCGCCTCTGGCACAAATGAGTAGTTGCAACAGAAACTATGAGCAAAGCCTAAAATATTTACTATCTGGCCCTTTACAGAAAAAAATTGCCAACTCCTGGCGTAGACTACTGGTACTTTTCAACTCAACCACCTCAAGTGCTATGACCAGGAAAACATCTTAGATCATTTCTGGAGAAAAGGAAACACAAAAATACATTCCAAGAAGCCAACTGCATCATGGTCCACTCCCACTGCATGCAGATCTGCAACATACACTGTCACCTTGACTTACATCCTTTCATTCGCTGACCTCAAACAAGTCTGGAAACAAACCATCAGTTGGTCCAGTGTAACACATTAGTTTTTTTTGGTAGATGTGAGTCACTGATTTCTCTGCCCAATGAGTCAATAAGATTTGGGAGCCTGTAAAAGCAGGGGCAGGAGTTAGAGCCCCTTATCCAGTTCTTAACTGAGGACAGGGCAGAGTCTTCAGACATTGCCTGCTGTCGGTCACCTGGGAGCACTGGGCTAGCAAGGTTCACATGATGGTGTCCAGCAGCAGGGACACAGCTAGGGACAGAGTCTGCTTCTGTGTATCATAGACCCTGCTTGCTCATTACATATTGATAGGAACCCTTGATTTACTGCCCCCACTCAATTTGGCTCAATCCCCCCTAACATCTCCAAACCCCACCGCTTCACATGGTCTTGGAACAAAGACAAGATGCCTATGTTTCTGGTATACACTTTTTGCAAAATCAAAATCTGTCCAGGGCCAAATCTACCCTTCCCCTACCAGTCCTCCCACTCATGGAAAGGTTTCCGTGCATAGATGTAGGATTGCTCCTGCATCCAGCCTGAGAACAGTCAGGAAATATCAATTGGAGAGTACAAGAAAGCTCTTCTCTCCATCTGATTATGCGCATCCTGTGAAGGCCAGTGAACAAACTGGCCACAGGTGCAGACACTTTATTAAACTGTTCTGGAAGCCCTGGGAAACAGGGCCATAACCATTTCCACCGATTTCTCTCCCGTACCTGATCTCCTTGTAGCGTGTGCTGGTCAAGGGGCGTCTTGGTGGCAATGTTGCTGTAGTAGGCGTAGGACAGCTCCCAGTCCAGGGGGTAGTTATCAATACCCTGGTAGTGTTTGTAGCCAAGATTCATTGAGGACAGTCTCTCACTGCCCTGGCCTCCAACCAAACTATACAACATGCCCTGTTTGAAAGAAATGGACAAAGCGTTCACAAGATTGTAAGAAAGGGTCATAAACTCCTCACACTGAAAGGTCATCTGTCCCCATCCCTATATATGAGCCTCTTCATTCCAGAAATATGTTAACATGCCTTGAAAAAAACTGTTAGAAAAGCAGCCCCAACAGCATTCTAACAGTTTGCATATTCCCAGTTATCTGTCCTTCTTAATGCCTAACGGCTTAAAATTCCTTGACTTTTGCCCTTTTCTCAGTGAAAATGGTGGTCTTCCCCTGACTTCTGTCACAGCATCTCTTTGTGTAACTGCCAGCTGTTCTGAGGATCCCTGGTCTGCTTCAGCTACCTCCTCTACGGCCAGATGATCTGAACAGTGGGTCACGTCCCAATCTCACGCTCTCAGAACATTAGTGTTGGGAAAGGTCCAACAATCTCATTTCATAGTTGAGGGAACAGAGACCCAGAGAGTTGAAGTCAAGTGTCCTTGGCCAACCAGCCACTTTGTGGCAGAATCTTCTGTACTATGCCACCTTTGTGAGGATTGCCTCAGGGCCTCAGGAAAGCATGCCATCAATCATAAGCTTCTACAAGCCAGTGACATGCACAAAGAAGTCACTTAAAAGGACCATGGAACCACCAGGGCAGGTCTACACAGTCCATCTCTTCAAACCCAGGATGAACAATTATGTGTGCAAATCTGAAAATTAAAAGTGATCAGGGACCATTTAGTAGTTCTTATAAAAATGTGATTCCAAATGTTAGGCAAGTTGCGTGATAAATTTGGATTCAAAACCACAAACGAAACCGTCTGGTATGGCTTTTATTTTGATGGCAGAAGGCTGGATGTAATGATACTTTGCTAAGAGGTCCAAATGACTTCACTTAACTAAAAATTCATATGGGATGATGCTCTCACAGCAAGAGCAGTCATAAGAATTGACAAGAGGCACCTGTTCTTGAAGGACTGGGATTCTGGGAAGCTCTACCCAAACTTGCTTGTACAGTATACCGATCCTATCCCCAAGCCTCTGTCCGGAAATGGGTGCAGCGCCCTTTCCCACTCACTGAAAGCAGGAGATCCCGTATTTAACACAGCCCTAGGATGTTTCTCTCGAGTGTAAAGATTTTAAAGGACTCCATGGGGCATGGATATGTCCAGCTCCCCCTGGGGCATGAGAGCATTACTCTGCAAATATAAAGCAGGTGACTGACGTTCTTGGACCCCCTGAAATACTCTACCTGCTGCTGATCCCGAGGTACATTTAATCCAGTTTCATAAAAGACTGCGAGGTAGTAGGATGCTTTATGGTATCCACAGCAGCTGGAATCCATCAAAAAGGGGATGACAGAGCTAATTTGGTGAAGACCATCAACACTGGAGAGTCTCCTTACAGCTTTCTCAAATATCCTCCCACCGATTTCTAATACAAATTCATTCTGGTTCCTTGACACTGTAAATAACACAATTCACAGCACACACAATTAATTACCATAGGATTGACGTGGCTTTATAGAGAAGAGGGAAAAGCCAATTAAACCACCTGAGTTATTAATATGGTTGGTCCTGCAGTGCCTTGAAATATACCACCTTCCGGGGAGGTAAATTAAACCCTTGGCGGATGCCACGGTGTCATTCTGTAAATAGCTTTTTCTTTGGCACTAAATGACAGCCTAGTATTCTGGGGAAAAGAATGTACCTTATATAACTGAGAGAGCGCTGAGAGAGAGTAATTTACCACCTAATCAGGACCACCTAAACTTCCAGAGATTCTTTTTTCCCTTCTAAGACTCTCTGAAGAAGAATGTATTTTATTAGAAATAGTTCCTAGGTGCTGCTCTAAAAAGTTAAGAAAAAGAACCTTATTTTGAGATGCTTTCTTATCATCTCTTGCCTCCAGTTTTTCTTGTGGGTCTCTAAATACAATAAAAAGAATGAGTCAACCTTTATTGAGAGCTTACAAAATGCCAAACACTGGGTTATGTGTCTTATGCAAATTATGTCATGCAATCTGGACAATTTTATGAGGTGAGTACTATTATTAGTGTCCTCATTTTTCAAATGAGGAGACTGAAGCCATGAGAAGTCAACTAACCTGTCTAAAGTTACAAAAGCTGGCAAGTGTCTGAGCCAAGTTTTGAATCCAGCTTTGCGGGTCGTGAAACCAGAGTTCCTACTCACTCTGCTACACCCACCTCCTGATTAATAGGCAACCAGCTGTCTTAATAAGTACTTTACCACATGGGTAGAGACCTCTTTATGCAACTGCTTTAAGCTATACGATACTTCCTCTGACCTAATTCTCCCGCAAATCTGATAAACACAGAAGCCCAAATTAGCAAACTATATGGCCCTATAGTGTAAGTGTTAACAATCTTCTAAAGTCTGTCTACATATTCTTCTCTCTTGTTTATTAATTCAAGCAGTGCATGTTTCCTTCCTATTCTGTGCATCTATTAGATGCTTTGTTACAACAGACCATGTAGGATTGCAAAGATACTATTTGCATTTAAAGAGATCTGGTCATCTTACTTAAGACTAAAACTTTATCTGCCTAAAAATTATGTCCAACATTTTTCTTTTACTTTCTTCATTCCATCCAAAATTAAACTGTTGCTAACAACTTTCAGGAGGCAATAAGAGACTCCCTCTATCAGCACTCCACTAAGGAATGAACAGGGATGAGTTCCCACTGTGGGAAAACTCGAATGGGAAGGTTTGGGATCGGATTTACTTAAAGGCAATCCCCTCGCAGAGGCCCATGCTAAAAGCAGGACCAGTGGGATCCATGGATGAAACTGCGAAACTCGAGGTGTTGGTTATGAGCTGGTGCCAGTCTCTCCAGGCACACAGGTGGGCTGGCTGCCCCTGAGAGGGGCACACATGCCTTCATTTGCCAAGCCGTGGGGAAGGAGCCCACCCCCCACCTCCACCCAGTGCTAAGGAGTCTCATCTCCTGGCTCCTGGAGCCCCGAGCCCCAGCACTCTCCAGGGGGCAGCAGCTGGGCCTGCTTGTACTCCCTGGATCTCGAGCGGTAGGGTCAAAAAATATCACCTTGCTGAACAAATGAAATTTGCTCTTCTTCCTGTATTTTTTTAATCCCTAAAGAAATAGCTGCTTACTATTAAAAAAAAATCAATCAACGCAGCTTTGTATAAAATAAAAACAGAAGCCCCCTTTCTGTCAATCCTTCTTAAACAGTGAAGATAAACAATGTTAGAAGCTTGGTGTGTATATTTCCAGAATCTCCCTTTGCACAGACAATAATTCATATACACGTCTATCTGCATATATACATACACTTTCCTTTCCAAAAAGCTCCTATAAATTCTGACCCTCAACTTTCTTTTTTAAATTAAGCACATAACATGGGTATCTGTCCGTGGGTTGCAGATGCTCATTCTGTCTAAAGCTTCAACAGTGTTGCCTTCTAAAGTATTTTCTAAATACTTCAAAAGTATTGCATTCTAAAAACGGCATTTTTCCAACCAGTTATCTATTTCGAGGCTCTTGGGTTGCTTCCAGTGGTTTCGCTATAACCAACAACATGGCAAAGAACATCTCCCTCTGCTCATCTGTTGGGATATATCTGAATAATGACACCCTTTTCCGCCAGGAGTCTGGGGATCTCATTTTGGGTTTTCCCTTTGCATAGCTGAGAGAAGAATTCTGCCCTACTCGACCATTAGACAGAATAAGAATCTCCTCCACCAGATTCAGTATGCACTGATGCACTACTCAGTTGGAATTGCAAAGTTAAATCCTACTTCCACTCATTTATATATTTACTTTTAAATAGGTACTCATCTCAGATGCCCCTCTGTGCACATTCTGAGCAAAGCAACATTAACATTTTCTTAACGATTCATCCCGGCCTCACCTGCTCTGCCAAACATCTCACTAAGATGATGAGTTTTGCCTGAATACCCACAGACACCGGCTTTGTGCGCTCAGAGGAGAGGAGAGACTCCAAACCAAATGAAGTTCCAAATGAAACACTTGCCCTGCTGACCCCCTGGCACAGAACCGCCGAAATCATTAGCGGGAGTGCCCAGGAAGCTGGGTTTGTTGGAGAACAAGGAGAAAAGGGGAATCCCTCACAAAGCTCAAATCCTTTGCACAAAAAGACTTGTTGGACTGAAAGAGAGGAGGCCGGTTGAAAAGGCTTCGTTATTTCTTTCGCATATTAAAATTCTTAACTCCCCCCAAATATTTCCAATCAGTATTTTCTCTGCAATAGAATCTAAATAATTTTCTCCACGAGAGACTATAATAAAAAATAATTCTAAAATAAAACTGCTCATTTTGCACATTCTTCAAAGTTCGAATTCTTACTGTAACACAAAATCAAAGCCACAGTGTCACTGGCGATATTGTAAGACTGGCAATTTTCAAATCAGTTTAATGAAACTGTTAATTTCACCCATCTGGCTCAGCATATGCATTTTTTTTCTGGTCGATCTGTAACTAAAAAACATGCCTTGTTTATAGAGATTAATGGTGTAACGAAAAAACAAACAAACAAGATGGAAGAAAGAGCCATTTTCCCATTTTCTTTCTTCTTGTTCCAGAAGCTCAGGAAATGAAAGGCACCGCCATCATCAATTAATCCTTACTATTTTCCGAACAGCCCAGCATTGTTTATTTCGCTTTTTTTCTTTTTTCCAGCAATACCATAAGGTCACCATTTGTGCACTCATCATTAAAAGAGGTAAAAAGCAGAAAATGAGAAGGTAGCCACTTGCTGAAGGAGCTGGAGTGAGCATCTTATTGAGAATTCGGAAGGAGAAAGGCCAGCTCATTCTTGTGAGAAGATCGGGGACATTAAGAGGAAAGTCATCTTTAGTTTCAAGATTACAAAAGGGATAATGCATCCCAAGTAGAAGTTTGAAAGGGAGAAATCAGTGAAAGGAGAAAATGTTATTTAACCAGAAAAAGAAGATCTTTACCAAGTTTGCTAGTTTAAAAAACCACAGCACGATCCTCATATGCATTCTGATTCAGCGAGCCCCATTGGTTCCCTAAGACCTAAAGAGATGGTTTATTTCTCTCTCTAAAGTAAACTATTTGTACTTTTCCGTACTGTGCAAATTTTATGGTTTTATACAGGCAATTTCTCTCCCCGCTCCCTTTTCCTTTCTCTCTCTCTTTCTCCCCCTTTCTCTTTCTCTTTCAGGACTGTCATTGGGGATTCTCTGAGCAGAAAAGGTACAGCCCTTCCTTTGTTTTCTTCTTTGTCCTTCCGCACATTTTTTAAAAGCTATAATGTATGCTTTCTTTGATAAAAAAAATAAAGATGATGGTTCTTCAATGAACAACAGTGAAAATAGCTCTTAAAGGACATTATCCTGGTATTATTAAGTAACATTATTGTAAATCTACCATCTCCATGCTCTGCATTTTAGAATCTCCAAATAAACATTGCAATTGTTGGCAAAAGTAAGATGAGTTAAAAACAAACTAGAGTGACACCAGCGCAGCCAGCACTGCGTCGGCATATTGTGTGGGGGCACCGCTTCCTCTGCACTCAGCGCTCCGGAGCCTGGGGCAGGAGTCAGGCCGTGGCCCTGACGGAACAGCACAGATGGTGTCAGCGCTGGGAGGCGAGCCCAGCTTCAGACCAGGCCTCCTCCTGAGAAACATGTGCTGACAGACCTCAGACTTACCATAGCCACAGTCTCCAACTCCTGTGGGCTCAAAGGTGCCCAGTCCAGGATGATAGGAGGGAAGGGAGTAAAGAGTTCTGGCCTCAGGACAGATGTCCGGAGAGGCATGAGGGCCAGCTCACCTGCCTCACTCACCTGTGCCTCCCTGCCCTCGAGTCCCACCTGCACCTGAGCCTCTGTGTCCCTCCTCACTCCTTCTACCGTAACCAGCTCTCTGGCCCTGAGCGCCACCTGCCATTGGCATTCCTGCAGCCTCTTATCAGCCCAGTCCCCATCCCCTCTCTTCCCCGGATGCCAGAGCCCCATTCAAAGGGTTTTTGAATTCAAAGAGTTCTATTTTGACAAGGAAAGTGTGACAGGAGAGTAAAAGAAATAGCCAGCACACCTCTTAAATAAATGAAAAAGTGTGCATACTAAGATACTACCATCCTAGCATTAGAACAAGCCCCAATGCTAAGAGGGCAACTTCTGTGCTCTGACAGGAGCCTTTTTCCCAGAGAACTGGAGGTTCCCCAGGAAACAACTTAGAGGCTGACCAATCAGAACGGTCCCCCTGAAGTCCTGAGCAGATGCCACCCAGAGGCTGGACAGTGCTGAACTTTGGGAAAGAGCAGCACAGGAGAATCCCCGTGCCAAGCATGGAAATCAGGCCACAGAGCAGTGGGTCTGGAATGCCAGGAGGCAGGAAGAGGATTCTGCCACATCTCTATGCACTGCAGCTGGGTGATCCGAGGAGCGCTGCCATCTTTAATTCAAAGACATGCCAACTCCGGGAGGCGAGGAACA